TGTTTTATTAGGTAGGAACAGCAACAAAGTTGAGAGTGAAAGCAGATCCCACCTCTCACTCATCCATGAATGTCCTGGGATCACAGATGAACTATGAGAATGTGCGTGTGTTGTCTTTTATGTCTGCAGAGATCTCCCGCAACCCGAGTGCAGTCCTCATAGACCTGGTCTGTTAAGTACTGGATTTGGTCCTGGATTTGGTCCTGGTTTTGGTCCTGGTTTAAGACCTGGTTCCGTCATGGTTATAAAACTCAGTTATTCAGTGTTAAAAGGTTTCAATTCTGAGGCATGTCTGTGAATGGGCGCTCAGTTCTGGGATGCGCAAAGCGGGGTCTTTCAGATTCGAGACCCGGCAATTAAATCTGTAAATTTAATGAACACAGATTAAACAAAAGGAAGAGTAGATGCAATTTTCTCCTGTGAAACCATTCGTTGCAGAAAGATATGTGAGCCAAGTTTCGGTGACCTATCCCAAAGCAATATGATTAAATGTCTTTAAGGATACAGAGACATTTAAGGTGTAAACATATGTTGTCTGCAGTGTTCCCTCTAAGCGCCACACATCTGAAATTGCGTGGTGCTTTTGTGTATGGATCGCAGTGGGGTCATTCCCTTGACTAGAAAAAGTTAGAGCCGAAAGCTCTCCGTCTGTGACGATGATGAGCTGTCCATGAGTGTGGGAGAAGTGCCCTGAAGTCTGAAGCTGCATCCTGAACAGGGCTTAGACCAACCTCACACTGCACAACGTGAATCGCAAATGTGGACTCGGTCAGCGGATCGGAGTCTCACGATCGGAGTCTCACGAGCACTACGAGCTGCTGCTGTGCTACACACACCTAATGCAGATGTACACATGCAGGGAGACTTCAGTCTGAGGACTTAAGTCTCTCTCTTTGCCCAAATTACATCCATCCCTTTGCTGTGGTTTGGTTGTTAGCACTTCTCTTTGCACTGATGTCACTTTGTAGGCCAGACTAATAATAATAATAATAATAATGCATCGGTTTTATATAGCGCTTTTCTGGATACTCATTATTATTATTATTATTCATTCACTCCATACACGGTGGTGATAAACTACTACTGTAGCCACAGCTGCCCTGGGGCACACTGACAGAAGCGAGGCAACCAGTATGTGCCATCGGCCCCTCTGATCACCACAAACCATTCACACACACACACCAGACTCATTCTAGGCAATGGGGGTGAAGTGTCTTGCCTAAGGACACAACGGCAGTTTGGCACTTTACAGCCGCAGCCGCCCCACTGTGGCTGGTGTTCCCAAAGGTTAAGTGTCTTGCCAAGGACACAACGACAGTAGTCAGTGGGAGTCAATGGTGAAAGTCCTGAGCGGGGCTTGAACTCACGAACTTCTGGCTCAAAGTCCAACGCTCTACCAACTGAGCTACTGCCGCCCAAGACTAGCGCCCCCTTCAGTTGCCTTGAGGAAATATAACTATTATTATCTATAGATTTTTATAGGCTTATGGGTGTGTTCACAGTATAGTTAGGCCTGTCACGACAATAAAGTTTGCTGGACAATTAATTGTCTCAGAAATTATAGCGATAAGCAATAATATTGTCGTTCTGAGATAATTTTTATCTAACACAATGATAATGATGCAGATACACCTTTTCAAAGAGAAACAAACTTATTTTTAAAGACCATCGTCGGAAGTGGCGGAAGTAGCGGGCGGGCTTTGATGCTAACAGAATTAAGCTAGCAGCTTTTTGTGTTCTTCTCCAAGAATGCAGCTCTGCAGTCTCTTCCAGAGACTTTATATAACAGCAGTATGTGTTCACGGAGGTGTGCCATAAGTTTATTTTATTATTAAACTGTACTTCCGTATCTGCGAACATGCTAGCTGCGCTAGTTTAGTCACTACTAGAGCCTGAATGAGAACCAAGTACTGTTAACTGTCAACTACGGTTAAGTCCTGGTTTAGGTCCTGTTTTGGCTGTTTTTGTATTTTTGAGTATTTTCAGTCTGCTCGCTAGACTGCTAATGTTCCCGTGATCACTTTGCGGCTCTCTGACCCGGGAGAGAAAGGGAGAGAGAGAGACCAGGAAAACAAACAAGCATGCAAATGGCATTTGTCATGACCACAAAAATTATCAAGCCAATTTTAATTATCATGTGATTAATTTATTTATTGAATATCGTGACAGGCCAAAGTATAGTGTTAATTAAAGTATCTGGAGTTTAAAAGGTAACTCAAAAACTAAATTTACTATCATAGATTGGAATTTTAAACAAGCGAATCAGCCTCTGGTTTGATAGCTCTAGGTACATAGAAAATTAAAGGTCTTCAGTCTGAAAAAACAGCAGATGAACTCCCACAAGATTAAAGTGATTGTCTGGAACTCTAAATGAATTACAAACCTCTTGGCCCTAAATGTTGATTTAAAATAAGTCATTTTATGAATTCTAATATCACGGATCAGGCTTCCGCCTTCCCTTCTCTTCGCTATGGCTCAGAATCCACGATGCCGTCCACTTTAACCAATTGTTTCTACTCACCTAAATGGTGTCCTAAAATGTTCTACTAATGTTGATAGCTATATTAAAACAGTATTTTTGTCATGAAAACGTCAACAAATAATTCTGAAAACCTCTGCACGTGTGTTAAGATGTATATGTAAAATGTATTTTCCGGTGATCATTTAAAAGTGTTGATCGATTGATATTAATGTTTAATGAGCGTGGCTAGCTCCGATAGCTTCTCTGCAGAGACAGAAGCAGTGACGTAGCCCTTTGTGACGAAGTATGTTAGTGTTAGTATTTAACACACCTGAAATACAAGCACAGAGTGCGTTGCCAAAGGGTCATTATTGGTTTGAGAGTCCGTTATTATGAAATAATGATCGGTAGATCATTCAAAATTACATTCAATTCAATGGAGCGTTCTACTGCTGCTGCGAGGAGCTGTATTACAAATTATGATTCAATATTTAAATAAAAAATCTCTGCTCCGCACGTCTTGAACCTGCCGCTTGCACGGAAAAGTAGGCGCGGCTTCAAGACCAATCAGAAAGAAAGGGGGCGGGAGCTCGAATTGTTTTTTTGGTTTTTTTTTTCAAATCATGTCCCTTTTTGAACCATTTTTGAAAAATGATAATCTGGTCTAACATTTAATTTGTTTACTATATGAAAGTAGTCACTTTGTTTCTACTTTGTGAGGAAAAATGAATCTCTTAATCAAATGTGGACACCTGAAACTTTCAGGATTTCTGTCAAATCATCGCGTCTGTTACAAATAAATAGAGCCGCTTTAGGAAACTTGTCTAATTTATAAAACAGTTATATTCTTGCCACTACTAATGGACAGAGGAGGTATTTGGATTAATGAAAAAGGAAATAAAACTATGCATACCATTTATTAAAATAGAATCTAAATAATCATATTATAAATATGAATAAGACAAATCCCCTTTAAATATTTTGTTTTAGTGCAATAAATTTAGCAAATATAATCCTAAATCTACTTTAATCCACCATCTATAAAATACTCTGCCTTTGAATCAGGATGCATCGTGATCAAGTCACTGTGGATCCAAATCATCGTTGGTTCAAGAAGGTGAAATAAAATAAATGGGATCGAGGCAGGTGTATCTACATTTTCAATTTCAAAGTTTTCAACAGAGATGTCTTGCTCAGAATGCTCCATGTGCCGCTCAGGGGGTTTGTGTTTTTGCTTAGACCCATTAAAGGGAATATTGGTTTTGTGTTTACCTAACTTTCTCAGTGAAATGTGTCCTTCCTGGGGAGTGTGCTCCCAGATCTGTCTGAGCTGCAGTATTTGCTGCAGTGTCAGTTGTGAAGCAGCTGAGTGGTCAGTCTCCAGCTGAGTGACAGAGAATGCTCCTCAGTGATAGAGCCGAGCAGCCGCTGTTAGACTGATTTAATGTACTTCTGTCGATACAAGACCATTGTGGCAGCGAGATGCAGGAACATAAGCATTACTCTAATATCATTTCCCAACGAAAGAGTAATGTAAGGAAATGCTATTTCAAAACTGTAATAAGACACTGCTTCACGTATTTCTTTCTGGTTCTCCAATGAAGAGATCAGTGTGCATTTGTGTAAAAACACCACATATTTAGGTAGAGTAAATATGTGGTGAAGGTAGAACAATACAATACAGCTCTTGCAAATTCAATTGAAATATTTGACCACAACTCATTTAATATGTAGTGATGAGCAAACAATGAAGAAGCAAGTAAAATAATGGAGAAGTTTGTCCTCGAGCTGGAGTCAGACAGACTTTGGACTTTGTATGATCTTGTGGCTAGTTGTGGTGGAGTAGTGCAAAGCCTCAAAGCAGAAGGTGGAGAGCTGCTTGACTTAACATATATTGTTTGGCTCTAAAGAGGTTTCTGCTGTGTGAAACTTTATACTGGACACATTGGGCATTATGGACAAAGCAAGCCTCGGAGCACCAATATCAGAAGGCAAGGGCAGAGCAGTGTCACAGTCAGTCCAGAATGGGCTAAACACCATTTCATTTTGGGGACTATCAAATGTTGTTTGGCTATAATGAAAACAAAAATCCCAATTTTAATAATTGCAATCTTAATTATAAAACCAGTATGTCTTCCTTAGTGGAATAGAGGAAGTGCCACATGGACATTTGTGCTGCAATTAGTTGAATATGCAAATTTCAATTATGTTTTAAGCAATTGTCCAATTATACAGATGAATCATGGCAACGAAATTGTAATTGGAACTAAATGGTCACAAAATAATTCAAACCTAGTTAAAGTTCTGGTAAAGAACAAAACAAAGAAAGTTCAAAAATTGAAACTCATTTTTCATTAAAAACATGTTTTCTTTAGAAGACTTGTAGGAAAGGGCCCTGGAGTCCCTATTGGTCCTCTTTTTAAACATTTCTGTCTGAAAAATCTGATCAGAGATACATGAATATGACAAGTAGTGATAGAACCAACTGTTTCCAGAGCATAATTCTGTGCAGACTTTAGATGTGCTGAGAAGGACTCACCGAGAAGGGCTTCGAACAGGTTACTATTGAAGATCCCCATCACTCTCTGAATGGCAGTTTTGAGCTGCTCTTCCTCTGGCTTTGTCAGTTTAGTGCAGTACTCCTCCAGAAGCCCCAAGGCCCGTAGAGCATCTTGGAAAACAAACAACAGAATTAGGCCCTGTCCAGACAAATATGAAACAAGGTAGAGTTTAGAAACTGCATTATAGACAGACGGAACCGGCTTTGTAAACGTTGGTCTGAAAAACAAATCCCACCAAAGAGAAAAATGTGATGTACGTAGTGGTCCTGATGGCGGGACCTGGTTTCAAAAATGTGTCTTTAAAATATATATTGGATGAATTATAATTCAATAATAATAATAATTGTATAATTGGCCTGAATTTGACTGTGTGTGGAGAGGCCATTATTGTCATTTAAATTTCTGCTTTTGTTATAATAGCACACATTTGATCCCGATATTGTCATGACCAACACTGTCCAAAGCTATCCAAAGCTATCCAACAAGCTCTATGAGGCTTACAAATTGGGCATGGTTCATAAACCAAAGTTGTGTTCTCTTTGGCACACATTCACATGTAAAAGTAACAGCAAAGAACTGGTTCGCATTGCATTTAATCACATATAAAAAATTAAAAAATTACCGTTGATTAATGATTGAATATTAATATAAGCTTAAGCAATTTTGATTTATATTTTTCAACGGACAAGTGCAATTTTTGCATTAGCATATTTTACGGCAAACACATGGCAAAATTATAATACATTTTGCAGACTTTTATATTCTCCCAAAGTGGTCTACAGTCAAGTTTAATCCAGCGAGCCAGGCCATCAATTAACCAGTGATAGTTTTGTTTTGTTAAACAAGAATTGTTTTACCAAAACGTCACTATAAAAGGTGCGTGAGATTTCACTGCAATAACTTTAAACCAATGTATGAGATTGAGAAGAGATGGCTAAAGAGATAATCCCCGGTACGTGGTGCCACGTCCAGTCCTTTGCTGGAAAGGCTTTCTATTATACTTTAGAGCCAGGAGGAGAGAGGGATTTGTGTCAATTCATAAACAAGCATTTGTGTGCTTCATCGCTGATGTGAGGTGAGAGGATAAAACAAAGGTGACTCATGTTAAGTCTGGGAAATCCACGGCACACACCAGGAGATAGAATGGCAAAGCATTGATTAACACTGTGGGAATCCACTCACCTTTTTTTCTAACAGGCATGGTTGGCTCTATGTAAACGTGACTCTCAGTAAGGCCAGCAGTTTAGAGTCTTCTTCAGACCTCCCTTTTAGTGCATGATTGGAAAAGTTCTTTCCAAGAAAGGTTGTAATATTATAAACTGTATTTACATGGAGACACTGTCATTTGGAAAAGTTTCAATGGCCAACCAAGGTGCAGTTCTGAGCCTAACACAAAGAAGTCGACTTCCAACTCCGACCTTGGCACAACATGACAGCTCCTGTTAAATGAGAGTGTAAAACTTGAACCTATTGTTCATTTAGGACATTGTCTCTTTGAATGAGAAGTCTATAAATGATATCGATCAGTAAAGTAGAGTTTCAGCCTGTAAAGTTTCCCCTTTGGAAAAGCATCCTTTGGTGGAGAGCAGGAGCACCTTGTCATGACAGATCCACAGAATGTTCCGCAGACACAATGAGGTTGGAGATCAGGCTCCAGAGCTGTGTCTCTTCATGCACTGCTGATGCACAAGCAGCTGGTGAGCAGCTCCTGGTCTGCGCCCTGTCTGAACAACAGCTACACATCATCACTTCATCTCGACACTCCATACATCCCTCTTCATTTCACTGAAGTTGCAGGTCTGAACAGTGGAAAAGACAAGCAAAAAATCAACATGACAAAACATAGCTCTTTAGAGGAAAATCCAGGCTTCTGACACAATCACTTGAGAGTTTTGTCTGGAGGTTTGGACTTGAGCAGGTCAATCAATCTGCCCCCCATGAGCTTAGGTCATAATATTCAAATGAAAAGCATCCCAGGGTCTTTTGCTGCAGTTATGCCCGTGCACACACTTTATAAGTCCATGTTTGACTAGTTAGCTAGCATTCAAGCTAAATCATCAGATCGCGGTACCAAATAAAAAGATGTTTCTCCTCCAGTGCGACGCCTGCCTGCCTGGCTGCTGTTGGAAAAGACCTGCCTGCAGACACTGGGAGAGAACGCATGGCTCACAAACGTCCCCATGTAGTTGAGAGTCCGCAAGGAGCCGCGCCTTCTCCGGGGGGAAGCCCTGAGCTCAAGCCTCGCTGTCGGGGAGCATGTCGGGGCAGACAGGGCTGAGGTATCCCGGGGCAGATACAGTTGCGCTGGCCTGGTGTGGAGGCAGCATCAGCAGCAGCGGTTTGGGAAGCGCCCAGCTGCACGCGGGGTGGCCACTTCCGGAAACGTCTTGTCACAATAAAACAGATGCTGCCTTGTCTTCTCTTCCATTTGCACTGCTTTGTGTGTCTTTTATTCAGGACATAAATTCAGGACGATGTTATGTTATTGTGTTTTGTAACTGAACATTTTTGTATTTGTTTTTAATGGATGATACGGACTGTTTATTTCGGGGCGACAGTAGCTCAGTTGGTAGACCATTTGGGGTTCGAGCCCACCTCAAGACTTTCTCCACCGACTCCCACTGATGTCTGCTGTCGTTGTGTCTTTGGCAAGACAATTAACCTCTGGGAACACCAGGTGCCACAGTGGGGCTGCTGCGGCTGTAAAGTGCCAAACTGCCGTTGTGTCCTTAGGCAAGACACTTCACAGTAGTAGTTTATTCATTCACTCCAAACACAGTGGTGATAATGACATGTGAAGCATCTTTGAGTGTCCAAAAAAGCGCAATATAAAACCGATGCATTTGTGAACAAATCAGACATATCTTGTTGTGCACACTCTCAAAATTTGACGCTCAGGCCAGAGTAAGGGTGGTCTTCTGTTTGTCCCTTTTTGGTCTGAAAAGGATGTGACAGAAGCAAGAATACATGCAGATGAAAAGTGAAAATACATCTACATGCAGTGCTTTAAGTGGCCCAAAAAAAGGGGCCGATACTCTTTTTTTTCGCCCAGGGAAATGTTTGCATGTTTTCAATGCAAGAGAATGCACTTCTTTTACTGTCAACAAACAACCTTGTAGAAAAGAATATATTAAATAGATACATTCATTTAGGGATATGCTCGAGCTAGAAATGGCTACTGAAATAAATGAAAAAATGAAAAATGGTAGTGAAAGAATGTTGAACAAAAGGTCGTTGACATTAGACACACACAGCACTAACTATCTAACCAGAAGGACTGGCAGGTTTGACACTGATTCTGGATGTTTTTTTCTTTCATTAAGTCTCACGCCTTAATATTTACTGTCTATGTTCTGACGACACCAGCCCACAGAGACCATGAGGACACAGACATCGGCTTAATGTTGCCCTACACTGGTTCTCTGGGCCATACTGTCCTCTACACTTCTCCATAGACCTCACAGTGAGAGCATAGTCCAGGGGTCTCCAACCTGTAGCTTGGTAGCTAACAGTAGCTATCCAGCCCCTTTCAGGTAGCTACCCAAAGGATTTAGAATTTAACACATGATCTTGAATGATTCACTTTTGAGTCTTTACAGATCTATTATAAGTATAAGTACAGGGTTATACAGTGTTATGGTATTTTTTACATATGTTTTCCATGTTTTGTCGTAATTCATTTCTCGGGGGATTCTCGCGGTACTGCAGACTAAACAAAACTAAATTCATGCGGGCGACCCAGAAATTTTCCCCTTAGTTAGAACTCAAAGTAAACTAAAACAGCTCGACCTAAGCTGGCAGAGAACCTACAGCTTTCATAAAGGTCGGATTTTGTAGATTTTTGCGTCCCTTGTCATTCTGAACTTTTTGTCTTCTTAATTCCTTCGGTTTTCTTTATATCCACACTTTACTGCCACAAACTCTGCTCGTCTTGCTCCCGCTCTAGCCCCGCTCTGATCAGCAGTTCTGATTGGTCAGAGCGCGGCCGAGCCCCTCTGTGCACGTGCATGAGAGCCACACATGCAAAACCAGGAGGACCGAGCGAGCGTTAGAAGAGCGGATTTTATGAAAAGTTTGGCGCGAGAGTGAGTGCGACCGGAGCAAGACAGGGAACGAGTGCATGGTCTGTTGGATTGGGAGAAACAAAAAAGCCCCACTCTTGAGCAACAGTCCAGCGTGTCTTTGAATCCGCACCACACTTTTGAGAGTGAGGGTCTTAACACATTGGTACATTGTTTGTAGTTTGAAACTCGGTACCTTATTTTTAAATCTTGGTTATCTTGAACTTGCAACACATTTTATAATCTACCCACAAGCAAATCTAGTTTTAGATGCAAAGACATGGCAATCACTATCCACAACATTTTATACACATATAAAAACACATGCAAAGTGAATAAAAGTTGTCTTAAGGTATTCCACAGTATCTTGGACACAGCACTGATGTCATGTTCGAGGATTTGGCGCATTTCCTTCATCGCTTTGTGTGTTGCTCAAGATTCCTGAGGTGTTCTTTTATGTTGAAAGTCCTGCAGACGCACATGGCCACACTGTCGCAGCTGTTGAGCTTTACCTCAGCGGCTGCTCGGGGATAGTGCTGCATCCTGAGTGACAGGAGCCATCGGCCAATCACCTGCTGTGGTTTCCTCTCGCACTTGTGATGGATTAACCAATGCCAATATGTTATATGCTGCATAAATCCACACTGCTTCCCTGTTATCACAATACTTCCATGCTGTTGCCACAAACCAGAGCACCAACCTGCCCTGGGCCTCAGAATGCAGCTGTAAGTTAGAGGCCTCACCAGAAATAAACAAGAACAGCACATGGTGTTTAGTTTATTTAATCATTCAATTGTCCATGCCATATTACATACTTGCATCGTGTATATTGACTTTACATTTGTGCAACATAGACAAATAGGAACAGATGGAAGACAAAAAAGCCTTATAAACCTTGTCCCTCGTTTTGCTTGTTGCACAGACATTTTTAACATTACAACCATAATCCTATGTAAAGCTTTTAACAAATTATTATCTATTAATCTACAACACTTTTTCTCAATTCAGGAAAAATCCCATAATTTGAGAGGATATGGAGACTTCACACTACCTAAACTTCGAACTACTCGTAAAAGCTTTTGTGTATCTGTACGAGGTGTGAAACTATGGAACAGTCTGGATGCACACCACAAGCAATGCCAAAATATTCACAGATTTAAACTTTTATACAAACATCTGGTCACAATACACAGAGAGAGGGTCTTAATTTGTCTGTACTTCTGTATTGTATTTGTCATTTCTTTATCATTGCTGGTATTTGTCACTTGCCATTGTTAGTACTGTTTACTCATTACCGTTCTATGTAACTCTGATGCGTTACTATGGTAACTCCACAATGCGAATACTCAAACTGTTACTTTCTGTGGTAATATAGTGCAGAACTTTATATGAAATTAGTCGAAAGTTGTTGATAGCCCTGTGTTACAGAGAAGCTCATTTTAGTTATATACGTATTATGGGGGTAGGATTAAAAACATTTTCTTTGTCCGTCTCCCTTTCAGGCAACTATTTTGGTTTATGCATGTTAGCAATACTTTATCTATTTTTGTTGGAAGCTATGATGGACAAGAGGTGACTTGTGTCTTATGTGAAATGCCTGAAATGAATAAATAAACAAACATTTTCATCCCCAACATCACCTGTCACCAACTTTAGCATTTTTCCTTTCTATTAAATAACAACAAACTTACTGCACACTTAAATATTTTTGTTTTCTTCACATTCATTCATAATTTTGTCCTTATACATTATTTTTTTAAATGGAAGATATTAGAAGCACATTTCAGTGGCTCTGAGCGTTCCATAAACCAACACCAACTACAGACACACACTTCTGTTTCATCCAGGTTCTTGCAAATGCAGTTTTTATTCATGTTTTCTTCTGTGGGTCGAGTGTGATATCAATTTGAACCTCTCTTGAACGGCTTCAGGGAATAGTTTAAGTTTGGCTTTCCACACAATTAACAACGTTTGAAGATAAAGTACCAGTTTATAGTTTAGAGATGTGTGTGGTCACTTGTCTTTGTCTTTTGACCTAACTTCTGTTTCTTATTTACTTTTGCATTACATATATCAGTATTATACAGTTTAGAGTTTAGTTTTTATTTTACTTTACTATTTTTGTTTCCAAATGTATTCAATATTTTGGAACCATTTCACATATTTTTTAATACACCTTATTCACAGTTTAACATATTATTTTGAAATCCAAAGTATTGAAGTATATTTTGTAAGTTCTTCAATTAACCGTCAGTTTTTCAGAAATGTGATGTAATACAGAATTTTTTTAAATGTAAAAAGACAAGAAAAGGCAAGGAAAATCTACGTATAACACCGGGCAACTCAAAGTGCAAAACAAGAAAAGAAACTTCAACAGAACAAGTCCTCCAACGACTCCGACGCCATTTCTGAGCTGTGTGTCTGTTGGAAACAAACTGGAATACCGGACGGTTATTATGGACTTTGTTGACTAGTGTGAGCTATAGTTTGTTCATTGCTATTCACCCGTTGTCCCATTGTCTGTTCCATGGTACGATGACGGGACCTCTGGACCTGGCCTCCTCCATCTACACCTGTGGACTGCCCTGCCCGACCCGCCTGGGAGTTCTTCAGTCCTGCACCGGACCTGTCCACGCTCTGCGGCCGCTGCGTGGAAATGGTCCTGGTTCTGTATCTTAGGTCCTGGATCTACAGCCCGTCCGTCCGTGAGAGCGGATCCCTTTCTCAATGTGGTCTCCCCGAGGTTTCTCACTTTTTTCCCACTGGGTTTTTGTGAGTTTTTCCTTGCCAATGCAGTAGAGTCTTGTTGGGCAGTTAGTGTCCAACTAGAAGGACTGTGGTGATCCAGGACACTAACATTCTACATGTACAGTATGACATTTATCAACATGTGTTCTATATTCTTTATGTGTCTTAACTGTTGATTCTCTGATCTGTGTTGGTGATTTCAATGGTTTTGTTAAGTCTCTGAGATGACTTCTGTTGTGATTTAGGGCTATACAAGAATATTGTATTGTTTCCACTTGTGCTGAACACCAGCAAGATCAAGTAGATGTTTGTCGACTTCCGGAGAAAACCACTTTCCCTCACATCGCTGAACATCCAAGGGGAGGACATTAAGCCGGTGGACAGCTTCAAGTATCTGGGTGTTCATTATCACATTATCTATAAACTCCATCCATCCATCCATCCATCCATTTTCTTCCGCTTTATCCGTTGCCGGGTCGCGGGGGCAGCAGTCTAAGCAGAGACGCCCAGACTTCCCTATCCACACACACCTCCTCCAGCTCGTCCGGGGGGACCCCTAGGCGTTCCCAGGCCAGCTGAGAGACATAGTCTCTCCAGCGTGTCCTGGGTCTTCCCCGGGGCCTCCTCCCGGTGGGACGTGCCCGGAACACCTCCCCAGGAAGGCGTCCAGGAGGCATCCTGAACAGATGCCCGAGCCACCTCAACTGGTTCCTCTCGACGTGGAGAAGCAGCGGCTCTACTCCGAGCTCCTCCCGTGTGACCGAGCTCCTCACCCTATCTCTAAGGGAGCGCCCAGCCACTCTGCGGAGGAAGCTCATTTCGACCGCTTGTATCCGCGATCTCGTTCTTTCGGTCATTACCCACAGCTCATGACCATAGGTGAGGGAGGGAACGAAGATTGACCGGTAAATCGAGAGCTTTGCCTTTCGGCTCAGCTCCGTCTTTACCACAACGGTCCGATACAGAGACCGCATCACTGCGCACGCTGCACCGATCCGCCTGTCAATCTCACGCTCCATCCTTCCCTCACTCGTGAACAAGACCCCGAGATACTTGAACTCCTCCACTTGAGGAAGGACCTCTCCACCCACCTGAAGAGGGCAAGGCACCTTTTTCCGGTCGAGCACCATGGCCTCGGATTTGGAGGTGCTGATTCTCATCCCAGCCGCTTCACACTCGGCTGCAAACCGTCCCAGTGCATGTTGCAGGTCCTGGTTCGTTGGAGCCAGCAGGACGACATCATCCGCAAAAAGTAGAGATGAAATCCTGTGGTTCCCGAACCGGACCCCCTCCGGCCCCTGGCTGCGCCTAGAGATTCTGTCCATAAATACAGTGAACAGAACCGGTGACAAAGGGCAGCCTTGGCGGAGGCCAACATGCACCGGGAACAGGTCTGACTTACTGCCGGCAATGCGAACACAGCTCTGGCTCCGGTCATACAGGGACCAAACAGCCCTCAGCAGAGGACCCCGGACCCCGTACTCCCGGAGGACCCCCCAAAGGACACCCCGGGGAACACGGTCGAACGCCTTCTCCAAATCCACAAAGCACATGTGGACAGGTTGGGCGAACTCCCATGAACCCTCGAGTATCCGATGGAGAGTATAGAGCTGGTCCAGTGTTCCGCGACCGGGACGAAAACCACACTGCTCCTCCTGAATCCGAGATTCGACCATCGGACGTAGCCTCCTCTCCAGTACCTTGGAGTAGACCTTACCGGGGAGGCTGAGGAGTGTGATCCCACGATAATTGGAACACACCCTCCGGTCCCCCTTCTTGTAGAGAGGGACCATCACCCCGGTCTGCCACTCCATTGGCACCGCCCCCGATCGCCACGCGATGTTGCAGAGACGTGTCAGCCAAGACAGTCCTACAACATCCAGAGACTTTAGATAGTCAGGACGGATCTCATCCACTCCCGGCGCCTTGCCACCATGGAGGCTGCCAACCACCTTGGTGACCTCGGCCAGGGAGATGGAAGTATCCGCCCCAACATCTTCAGCCTCTGCCTCCTGGACGGAGGACGTGACGGGGGGATTGAGGAGAACCTCGAAGTATTCCTTCCACCGCCCGACAATATCCCCAGTCGAGGTCAGCAGCCCTCCACCCGCACCATACACGGTGTTGGCAAAGAACTGCTTCCCCCTCCTGAGGCGCCGGACGGTTTGCCAGAACCTCTTCGAGGCCGACCGATAGTCATGCTCCATGGACTCTCCGAACTCCTCCCAGTCCCGGGTTTTTGCCTCTGCAACAGCCCGGGCCGCGGCACATTTGGCCTGCCGGTACTGGACAGCTGCCTCAGGAGTCCCACGAATCATCATTGCTCGATAGGACTCCTTCTTCAGCCTGACGGCATCCCTTACTGCCGGTGTCCACCACCGGGTTCGGGGATTGCCGCCGGGACCAGCACCAGAGACCTTGCGACCACAGCTACGAGCCGCCGCATTGGCGATAGAGGAAGAGAACATGGTCCACTCGGACTCGATGTCCCCCTCCTCTGCCGGGACCTGGGAGAAGCTCTCCCGGAGGTGTGAGTTGAAAGTCCGTCTGACAGGGGGCTCAGCGAGACGTTCCCAGCAAACCCTCACTACACGCTTGGGCCTGCCAGGTCTGACCGGCCTCCTGCCCTGCCAGCGGATCCAACTCACGACCAGGTGATGATCGGTTGACAGCTCCGCCCCTCTCTTCACCCGAGTGTCCGAGACACGCGGTCGAAGGTCAGATGATACGACTACAAAGTCGATCATCGACCTCCGGCCTAGGGTGTCCTGGTGCCACGTGCACTGATGGACACCCTTGTGCTCGAACATAGTGTTCGTGATGGACAGGCCGTGACTGGCACAGAAGTCCAACAACTGAACACCGCTCGGGTTCAGATCAGGGGGGCCGCTCTTCCCGATCACCCCTCTCCAAGTGTCACTGGCATTTCCCACATGGGCGTTAAAGTCCCCCAGGAGAATAACGGAGTCCCCGGGCGGTGCACTGTCCAGTACCCCTCCCAAGGACTCCAAGAAGGCCGGGTACTCTGCACTACCGTTAGGCCCGTAGGCCGTCACAACAGTGAGAGACTTGTCCCCCACCCGGAGGCGGAGGGACGCGACCCTCTCATTCACCGGGGAGAACTCCAACACGTGGCGGCTGAGATGGGGGGCAATGAGTATGGCCACCCCAGCTCGCCGCCTCTCCCCGCGAGAAACACCAGAAAAGTGGAGCGTCCAACCCCTCTCAAGGAGTTGGGTTCCAGAGCCCAAGCTGTGTGTGGAGGTGAGGCCGACTATCTCTAGTCGGTATCGCTCAACCTCCCCCACAAGCTCGGGCTCCTTCCCCCCCAGTGAGGTGACGTTCCACGTCCCAAGAGCCAGATGTTGGGTGTGTGGACTGGGTCGTCGAGGTCTCCGCCTTCGACTGCTGCCCAGTCCTCTCTGCACCTCGCCACCACGGACCCCTCTGCAGGTGGTGGGCCCACAGGAGGGCTGTGGGCCCACCACCATTAAATCTATAAACTCCCGCCATAAGAACAGTTTCTTCCACTCTGCTGTTGGACTCATCATCACTTCATAACCTGTGCCCCCGCCCTTTATTAAACCACTTACTGCCCTTTAGCTACCTTATTTCACTTCATAACATCACTTTACTGCTGTTTGCATGTCAAATATGACATGTAAGTTTCTTCATTGGGAGATCAATAAAGTTTATCTTATCTTAAATCACAGAAGAAATAACAGTAAAATCATAAATAATCACATTAAAATGAGGATACAGCTTTAGTTGTATGCACAGCTAAACAGATACTCTCTCAGATCTCGGATCTTCAACCATTAAAAGATGCAAGAAAAGTGTAGGAGAAGGTTTGGTAAGTGTTGTGGGTTCATGAGATAATGTGGGACTTCTTCTTTGGTGCCCATTAAAGGATATTAAACGTTGTAGGGCCCCGCTGAAAGATCAAGTGTGTCGCTTAAATTTGTGGATTAAATTATGGTTATTATTACTTAAATGTTCTCATAGTTGTGCTTTAATGATGTAAATGTTTACACTTTTTAAAAAACCTTTTGTCCTCTATGATCCAGTCAAAAGCTGTGTGTTTTGGTATGCAGCTCAACACCGCCCTCTTCTGGTTCTATCCTGCTAGTAAAAGTAAGAAAAATACAGACTTCATTCAAACAATTAATAAAAAACCTTGATAAATATCCAAAAACATGGTTGTATATACACTTTATTACCACACACTACAATGGTCATAAAAATCATATGAACAGCATTTTATATGAACATAAATACATTAAGACACAATCTGTTGGAAGGAATTACACTACAAATGATTTATGATTAATATTTTCTGTTATTGATCAAAGACATGAGGCACTTTCTTGGCATTTATCAAAGGGTTCCACAGGTTCAAAGTCAAATTCAAGTATTTTTAAGTCTATTTTCAAAAACAAATGTACCTATTATACGGACCTATTACAGTATTTATTGTTTCCTTACTGTATTAACAAATGTGAAAATCCTTTGTCGCAGTATGGATGGTCTGTATCTGTGTGATCGTTTGAACCAGGAGCAGTGCCGTGCTACTCTATATTTAGACTTAACTGATTGATAGTGCTTGACAAATGAAATGTCTGGAGAATAAGACACCCGACAAAAATGAAGACCCAGATATAAAAATTTAAGACCATTTCAAATATTCACAAATTCTTTGTTTTTAAGATTTCAAGGAACCCTGGGCAGTTGAAAAAGAAAAAATAACGAAAATGCTCATTGTCAATTGGACATGCTTTTGGCCATCAGCAACATCCTGAGGGGTAAGACATCCTCCAGCCATTCCCCAGCAGAGTCCAGCATCCTCTGCCACAAACTGGCCTCACTCGTGGTGGAGTCCATCCAGTTCACATCCACTCCATAACTCTTCCCTGGACCCAAAAACAAACATGATGTCATCTTCCCAAAGAGAGGTATTTCCTACTGGACCATCTGGATTTGAGCCTGGATGTCACGGGACCGAGCCCACCCCAATGGGACCTACTCCAACTGCTCCCACATACAGTATGCCTACTGTCATTGCGTCCTTAACCCTATGTCGCCTGAAACTTGCAGAGGATCAGCGAGGGACCAGTGCTATGAGCATTGGGTGGCAGCTCTCATTGCCCAGAAATGGACTAATAAAGGGGTTGAAAATGAATGAATGAATGAATAAATTATGTGTTTTCTGTTTTTCTGTTAGCCATAACATTATATCAAATGAAGGCTTGATACTTTAGGAGACAGCAGCTCACCTGTTCCCAGTCCCAGTCTGACCCCTCCAATGTAATGGTTGTTGAGCCGGTCATGGTCCCAAACTGTGAGCTCCACACAGGCCTCCTTCAAGTCCTCAGACCTGAAGCCGTCGTAGACCATGGTGTGATTGAACATGGGGTTTGCGGTCCTCTTCACCACACGAGTCTTCTGTCGGCTCTTTCTGCTGGTGTCTGGGAGAACGGTGCTGCAATACACAAAAATACAAATATTCTGGGGGCTACTGTATATATGGTAAATTGTCAAAATTCAACTGATCCAGACAGATTTTATGTATATTTTTTCTTGCTTAATGATTGAGTTATATTGATTATATATAATTTTTGATTGCTTAAATCGCAACATTTCTTTGAGACTAATATGCAGCATTTTCACAGATTTGATGTGGACAGTGGAGGCCTGTAACCTTAGGGGATAAGAACTTCATAGACTAATGTAGGGAAATGTTAATGTGAAGGATTAATGTAAAGGTCCTAGATTCAGGAGCTATTACTGATTGACTGCGGAACCTTCCGCAGTCAACCATTGGTTTTCACGTTCTTTATTATTATTCCGTCTTTTTCCTGATTTTTGACACGTTTCACAGCTTTCACATTTTCAACAATTTCCACAAGTTATACATCAAAACGTTCCACATGTTTGGGAGATTATTGCTTTTACTTTTGGGACTTCAGCGATTTCCGGTTTTTCCGCAATCGGACAAAAATCGGTCGATTTTTCCCATTGACTTATAATGGGGCTTCCACAAATTCATAGTTTTCAGAATTTTCTTCAACATTTTCAGCATTTTCTGCAGTTTGTGCATGCTCAGCTTCCACAACTTGTGAGTTTTCAGAAAAAATTAGAGTTCTGCAGTTTTCCAGTTTTTTTCTACGGGCTTGGGAATTCTGCCATTAATTTGCATTGAGAATTCTGCAATGCATTTGGCCCATGCATTTTAATAGGACTTCAGCTCTTTCAGACATTTCTACAGTTTCAATGATTCAACAGTTTCAAGGATTAAACAGTTTCAAGGACTTCAGCAGTTTCAAGGACTTCAGCAGTTTCAAGGACTTCAGCAGTTTCAAGGACTTCAGCAGTTTCAAGGACTTCAGCAGTTTCAAGGACTTCAGCAGTTTCAAGGACTTCAGCAGTTTCAAGGACTTCAGCAGTTTCAAGGACTTCAGCAGTTTCAAGGACTTCAGCAGTTTCAAGGACTTCAGCAGTTTCAAGGACTTCAGCAGTTTCAAGGACTTCAGCAGTTTCAAGGACTTCAGCAGTTTCAAGGACTTCAGCAGTTTCAAGGACTTCAGCAGTTTCAAGGACTTCAGCAGTTTCAAGGACTTCAGCAGTTTCAAGGACTTCAGCAGTTTCAAGGACTTCAGCAGTTTCAAGGACTTCAGCAGTTTCAAGGTTTCCACAGTTTCAAGGTTTCAACAGTTTCAAGGTTTCAACAGTTTCAAGGTTTCCACAGTTTCAAGGTTTCAACAGTTTCAAGGTTTCAACAGTTTCAAGGTTTCAACAGTTTCAAGGTTTCAACAGTTTCAAGGTTTCAACAGTTTCAAGGTTTCAACAGTTTCAAGGTTTCAACAGTTTCAAGGTTTCAACAGTTTCAAGGTTTCAGCAGTTTCAAGGACTTCAGCAGTTTCAAGGACTTCAGCAGTTTCAAGGACTTCAGCAGTTTCAAGGTTTCCACAGTTTCAAGGTTTCCACAGTTTCAACAGTTTCAAGGTTTCCACAGTTTCAAGGTTTCAACAGTTTCAAGGTTTCAACAGTTTCAAGGTTTCAACAGTTTCAAGGTTTCAACAGTTTCAAGGTTTCAACAGTTTCAAGGTTTCAACAGTTTCAAGGCCTTCAGCAGTTTCAAGGTTTCCACAGTTTCAAGGTTTCAACAGTTTCAAGGTTACAACAGTTTCAAGGTTACAACAGTTTCAAGGACTTCAGTGTAATCATGCAACCTAATAGGGATTTTTCCATGTAAACCAGTATAATGCAACTTAATAGGGTTTTTTTCATGTAAACCAGTATAATGCAACTTAATGGGGATTTTTCCATGTAAACCAGTATTATGCAACTTAATAGGGATTTTTCCATGTAAACCAGTATAATGCAACTTAATAGGGTTTTTTTCATGTAAACCAGTATAATGCAACTTAATGGGGATTTTTCCATGTAAACCAGTATTATGCAACTTAATAGGGATTTTTCCATGTAAACCAGTACAATGCAACTTAATAGGGTTTTTTTCATGTAAACCAGTATAATGCAACTTAATAGGGATTTTTTCATGTAAACCAGTATAATGCAACGTAATGGGGATTTTTCCATGTAAACCAGTATAATGCAACTTAATAGGGTTTTTTTCATGTAAACCAGTATAATGCAACTTAATAGGGTTTTTTTCATGTAAACCAGTATAATGCAACGTAATGGGGATTTTTCCATGTAAACCAGTATAATGCAACTTAATAGGGTTTTTTTTCCATGTAAACCAGTATAATGCAACTTAATAGGGTTTTTTTTACATGTAAACCAGTATAATGGAACTTAATAGGGTTTTTTCCATGTAAACCAGTACAATGCAACTTAATAGGGTTTTTTTTACATGTAAACCAGTATAATGGAACTTAATAGGGTTTTTTCCATGTAAACCAGTATAATGCAACTTAATAGGGATTTTTCCATGTAAACCAGTATAATGCAACTTAATAGGGTTTTTTTTTACATGTAAACCAGTATAATGGAACTTAATAGGGTTTTTTCCATGTAAACCAGTATAATGCAACTTAATAGGGATTTTTCCATGTAAACCAGTACAATGCAACTTAATAGGGATTTTTCCATGTAAACCAGTATAATGCAACTTAATAGGGTTTTTTCATGTAAACCAGTATAATGCAACTTAATGGGGATTTTTCCATGTAAACCAGTATTATGCAACTTAATAGGGATTTTTCCATGTAAACCAGTATAATGCAACTTAATAGGGTTTTTTCATGTAAACCAGTATAATGCAACTTAATAGGGATTTTTCCATGTAAACCAGTATAATGCAACTTAATAGGGTTTTTTTCATGTAAACCAGTATAATGCAACTTAATAGGGTTTTTACATGTAAACCAGTATAATGGAACTTAATAGGGGTTTTTACATGTAAACCAGTATAATGGAACTTAATAGGGGTTTTTACATGTAAACCAGTATAATGCAACTTAATAGGGATTTGTACATGTAAACCAGTATAATGCAACCTAATAGGGATTTTTCCATGTAAACCAGTATAATGCAACTTAATAGAGATTTTTCCATGTAAACCAGTATAATGCAACTTAATAGGGATTTTTCCATGTAAACCAGTATAATGCAACCTAATAGGGATTTTTCCATGTAAACCAGTATAATGCAACCTAATAGGTTGCATTATACCACCAGACCAAGACCCAAACGAAGACTCAGACCACCACCAGATAATGACCACAGACCAGGTTTCCTTAGTTACAGGAACCAAATTGTTTCAGCGGTGAGGGGATTTTTCAGTTTCAAGGACACTTTCAATACATTCAGTAGTTTCAAGGATTTCAACTGTTTAAGAATTTAACCAGTTTCAAGGATTTCAGGAGGTTCAAGGATTTCAGGAGTTTCCACACTTTCAACAGTTTCCAGGTTTAAAAAAGTTTCAAGGATTTCAGGAGTTTCAATGTTTCAACAGTTTCAAGGATTTCAGGAGTTTAAAGGTTTCAACAATTTCAAGGACTTCAGGAGTTTCAAATATCTATCAAGTATTTTAACAGTTTCAAGGCCTTTTAAAGGATTTCAAGGATTTTTTTTAGCAGATTTCCACATTAGATCTGTTCCGCAGTCAATCGCAATGGCTTCAGCCATTGCAAGTTTCTAGTTACAAATATTTAACAGATAAAGTGAAAATACCTCTGGATCATAATAAGGACATTTTTTTGGTAAACACTGGTATAAATGTTTACTTTTTTTTTACCATTTCACAAAAGGGTCAATGATGACTCCTCTGATTGGTGGAAGGTTCTTGCAGTCTTTAACCCAAATCTGCACTTCTCCAGTTTCATTCCTGGATGTTCTTTTACCTGTATGTCATGAATAAAAATGAAGAAAATTAAAGAATTACCCAAAATCAAAAAACAGAGGAATGTGAGGTCTAGGGTCAGAACGTGTGTGTATAAATTATATAATATATACTGTATATATGCAGTAATATTCTAAATATTGGTGTCAAATGATGTGACAGCAGAATTGGAGAGATCTCCCAGGTTACCGAAGGGGACATGTGTGTTACAACATGAGGTCTGTTTTGCAATAGACCAAAACATAAACCGGCCATTATGGTTCAGGTCAATATTGGTGCCAATAAACAGTTGACCCCAGTACTGTATGTACTGTACAGTATTATACTGCAATAGTATGGGCTCTATGCACGCACCACTTCCGCGTTATAGTTATAACCCCACTTGACTTCCTGTGCGCGGGGATCGGCTTGAGTTTACAGGAGTTCAGCAGTTTCCTAAATAATGCTCAAACTGGAATTAAACTATGAGGATACTGGGCCTTTTTGGGACACAGCAGTGCTCTTCGATTGTGCTGTCATTGTGCTCTTATAAAGTTAACTAATCTCTCTGAGTGGCCACGGTCAAAGCTTTACCTCAGAGAGAAAGCACGTCCACACTTTTGGGTCAGTCTCAGCTGAATGTATCGATCTAATTACTAAAAAACGTCACTACAACTACAAGCCATAGCGCTAACACAGAGGTCAGCACTAGATCATATACGGAATCGGGACGGAAGTGGAAGTAAATATAACAAACTACAAATTCATGCCTAAACTTAACCAGCCATTCCCATAAAATAACCACAACCCAGCCTTAACCCTAACCTTAACCATCTTACCCAGACAGCTAAAACTTAACCAGTCACCATTTAAGGACTTATTAGTCTAAAATTCATTCGAAAGTAGGATTGCTACTTCCGGTTTTGTCCTGATTCCGTATATGATCTAGTGCCGACCCTAACACAGACAGGAAGTAAACAAGCTATTCTTTGTTAACAGGAAATGACGTCACGCCTCCTCGTGCATATAGCCCATTCTACTGCAAATGTATTATAATGCAAATGTATGTCTCCTGTGGCTGCAGGCGGCCCTGTGCTCCTCATATTTATAATGATCATTTTCTGCTCACTTGGGGATGTCTGAGGCAGGAATCTCACAGCAACCCTCATCTGTCCTCTGCTGCTGTCTGTGGTGCGTGTGGGAGAGGGTGTGGATGTAAGAGCAGCTGAGGAGGCCTGTAGTAGACAGACACAGTACATGTTATAAGCAAACCCATAATCATACTGTTTAAGTACTCATAAAAATAATAATAATAAGTTACCCTGGCCTTCAAAGAATATTCACTGATTTGTGCATTACTGAAGTCCCACTGTGACAAATCCAAATCCACTTCGCCTAGAAAACTGTTGCGCCCAAAAGTGTCATTGTGCCAAACAGACACATTCAAATGCTGAAATTTCAACACTTCCAGCAAAATTTTAAACTACAAAAAAGGAGAATACAATTAGAAAACAGGCAAAAGCACTTTGGTTTGTCACCAAATTACCCGAAGGATTTCATTGTAGGTTGGATTCACCGTCTTCTTCTTGATGCTCGTTTTACGCTTACCCAATTTGGTTTTATCAGGTACGAGGTAACATTTGACATATCTATAATATTCACATTCAATATAACCATTATGGAATGAGTATCATGGACAACATTGGGCTACTTACGGATCAGAGCGGCTTTTCTTGGAATCCCCCACAGCCAGGTCTCTGCAGTGGACCACAAATATGTGAAACTCGCCCAGCTTCTGAATGTAATTGACTGCAAACTGAATGGTTCCCTGCACGTCTACATCACCCAGGTCATTGTGGTAGATGCTGGTCATGCTTCCACCTACCTGCATGTACAAAACATTTTATTGTGCATTCTTGCTTTTGTGCAAATATGATCGTATCTTGAGCAATAACAGCATACAGAGGACATAGAAGCCATGCCGGAGGAAAGGCTTATGTTGGACGCTGAGCTGCCTGTGTTACGTCTGTAGCTTAGATTGTTCTCAAGTGGACTGTCGCTGTCGGTCTGAAAACAAAAGATCTATTTTAGCACAATGTAGCCTTAAATTATTAAATAAAAGTAAGAATTAAAAAATGTTTACGCCAATTTTCAACAAATACATGTCCATAGTTACATAGTCCCATAGTAGTGCAGTGTGAGGTAGTGAAAAGAATATCAAATTATAATAATGCATCAGTTTTAAAGGAACTTTTTTGGAAACGCTTAAGTTTAAGGATAAACTAATACATAGCTACAGCTGCCCTTGCACGGTAGACCCACTCTCAGCAATGTGTGTGATGTGTCTTGCCTAAGTACACAACAATTTGGCACTTTACAACTGCATCCGCCTCACTGTGGCTCCTGGTGTTTTCAGAGGTCAGGGGCTGGACTGGACTGTGATGGGAGACCGTCAGTCCAGTCCCTTCCCAGTTTAGCTTCAGAGGTCCAGGGTAAATTGTAAATGACTTTACCTCATCCAGCTGAAAGGCAGGCACAGATACACTAGATTTCTTTGTTGTGGAAAATGTTGTGGAAGGAAATTCTGAAACTTAAAAAGTAGTGACAGTAGTAATAAGCAGACAATTCATTCATATTGTTTGTTTACATTTACCATCATCCACACTTTTGTTCAATTGTTCTTTTTCTTCCCCTGTAAGCAAACATGAAAGTATTTGCTGTTGGAGTGAAAGCCCAGATGAGATAAAGAGTTGTGTTGTTACTTGTCGGAGAGGTGAGGTTTTCCAGACTTTTGGACGAGGACATCTTTGTCGATAAGCGTTTCAAAGCAGACATGACGGGGCCAGACCCTTCCTCATAACCTGCCAGAGACAGAACAAAACTGCAGTAGAAGTTCTATTGACAGTATAAGGTTAAGTTAAAGTAAAATCAACATCAGTCATAAAATTCATTATTTTTCTTTTTTTGTCATTTCATGCTTTAGAATGTGAAAAACACGTGGTGAATATGTATGAAAGGGTCAAAATGCTTTCCGCCTGTTTGGTGCGTGTTTTCTTTTCCAATTTAAAAACGTCCGGGTGAAAACACAGCCACATGTCATTTAACCTGTAAAATTGCCAAAACAAATGTATGGGTAATAATTCTGTTTCCAGCTGGCCTGGGAACGCCTTGGGGTCCCCCGAGCTGGAGGAAGTGTGTGTGGATAGGGAAGTCTGGGCGTCTCTGCTTAGACTGCTGCCCCCACGACCCGGCAACGGATGAAGCGGAAGAAAACGCATAAATGGATGTCAAAAACACATTTCATTATTTTAAGTTTTTTTTTGACAAGATCCAGTGTGCATCTACATTTACTGAATGTGTATACTACGTAAAATGTGGTCCTGTAAATATACACTACTACTACTGCTACTACAATACATACTGTATTAGAAAGATTTGTTTGTAAATTGAAACACACAGAAGAGGTTCAAGCTGGGGAAGCTGAATCCATCTAACTTGTTGCCATCTATCATATAGTACGCACAAATATTAGACCAGCAAATAGAAACACATTAGAAACACACAATAAACAAGCAAGGTAAAAAAAAAAAAAAAAAAAAAACAGTTTGGAATTCAGGGTGCATTGATGCTTATGGGTCTGCTTCACTTTAATTGGAACAGTTCTGGTTCATTTGGTGAAAAATGCATAATTTTAGACCTTTGAAAAATGTTTAAATTGTCTTTTCATGTTTTAGAATCAGCAGTTCCTGATATTGTCATGGATGGATCTACAAACTCCAGGTCTGATTTCTACAGACCTGGACCATTTTAATAGACTGTTTAAGGCACTTGTGCTATCCTCGGGTAAAAAAGTCAAAAGTGGAAGTAAACTACCCTACAAGATTCTAAATGACGTGGAAATATCATCAAAATTCACCTCAACAAATTTTAGTTTTTTTTTGTCATGGTGGCTGGTCATATTGATTGTTTGAAACATATCTGTGAAGCTTTCTTTCTAGATGCACCAGTTGAAGTGAACCAAACCAACATGTGTGTGATCATTTATTGTCCCTATAGCATGATTCTGCTCTCAAACCATTTCTCTATCAACCCGGGAAGGAAAGTGAAGAGAGAAAATAAAATCTCACTGCCTGCACTTGCCCGAGACAGAGACCATGCCCTGGTGTCGTCACCGCTCTCCCTGATCTGCTCGATCCAGGAGCTGACTCTTGGATCCTTGTTCTGGTTCTCCACAAACTCTCCCATGGGGCTTTGCGGTCTTCGGAGCACATCCACCGCACTCGCTTCCTCAAAAGGCGGCAGATGAGCTTGTTCACGCGGCCCCAGGTAGTGTTGGTAATCTTGGGGTATCACCGATCTTGCAAGCGGAGATCCACGTTTAGTTTCGCTGCCTTCTAAAATACTTGCTTCCGGAGATGGACTTTTGCTGGGTCTTGACTTTCCTGACGGATCTATCAAAATTGGGAAAGTTTTCAACGGCGACGCTGGCCTAGATCCTTCAGGACTCACCGATTCTCGTGGGAGCACTCTTGGGTGGCACGTTTTTGATGGACTCAACCTCACTTCGTCATCTTTAGATCTCTTTGAGGGTGATTTGCTTGGACTTTGTGGTACCTCTAGTAAATGTGTGCCTTCATTGACTCTTTTAAGCACGTCCAGGACACTAGCACCTTGCGATGGTGATCTCTCCACGGTCTGGCTCACAAATCCCCTGTCGTTCACAATGACAGATTTTATTGTGACGATCTTGGTGGGAGACAATGGAACTGGATGTTGCTTCTTCTGGCTTGCTGAAGACCTCAACGGAGATGCAGCGGCAGGAGATTTGCTTGTGTGAACGGGACTGCAAGGCGCACTGGTCCTACCCCCTGAACATTCCTCCCAAAAATTCTTCAGTTCTCCAACATTTGCCGGTTTATCATCTGGTGGAATATGGGACATCTGTTTGGGGAGGGCCACTGGGGATGGCTTCGATTTGGGTTCACTGATTTGCGTCTCGGGGATTGAGCATACAAGGGAGTCTTCGCTGTCTTCATAAATTAGAACGGGGAACGCCCTGTAGGTTCCATCTTCGGAACATCTACGAAGCTGATTTCCGTGAGAATCTGCTCGAAGTTTTGGACAAGATTTGGCTTTTGTATCGGCAGTGTCTTCATGCATATCTGTAGCACTGTTTTCTATGTCGGACACTAAAGCTGGATGATCTACCTCTGCATCCTCCACTGTCCGGGATGGGGTTTCTACTGAAATCATTGCGTTGTCATTTAGTATTTGTAAGATGGATTTCTCGTTAAGATCACCTCGCACTCCTATCTGCTTCTTGGCTTGAATGTTTTTTTGTCTTTTAAAAAATCCTAATATTCTCTGTCTCGTAGATGGTGAAACAGTGCTCAAGTTTTTCTTCGAGCTCTCGCTGGTTATTTGCTTATCAGATGGTGGAGGAACGTGGCCGTCCTCTGATTCCACACAGGCAGGGTCACCGGTCTCGAGTGTGGCTGATGGGGCAGGGGGCTTTGGGCTTTGGGCCTCACACCACTCAGGCCCATCTGCAAAACAACATTTTTAACATGCATTACTTGAATACGATATCATCCACCTGTATACTGTTTATAATAGTGAAAATTTGCAATGCCGTGTGATATGTAACCAGTGACTCACTTTATCTGCTATATGGTGTGTGTAATGTTTCTTTTCAGTATCTACATTAGTTATATCTTACATTTTTTCTTTTTCGTGTCTCCCAACAACGGGTACAGGGGATCCAAGAATGCATCCGAGTTAGAGGGTGTGAGATTTCATAACACTTTGAAGCAACTTTTGTTAAAGTTAAACTCATCATTCTATCAATGTGCAGAAGCCAGTACTTTTCCCTTGTTTTGTCTATCTGAAGGCCAAGCTACAAGCACACTGTGGAAGCTGCTGATTGGAGGTCTCCATGCCTCCGCTCTGTATAATACACTTGCATTCTGTTGTATCTGTTGTTCGTGCTGTCTCTACCATCGACAATAAAACATGTCTTCTGTCTGAATTTAAGACGCGATCCCAGACATGTCATCTTCTTCAGGTGGTGGAAAGATGCGGGCCTTGTCTGTAACATCTACAGAACAGAAGACTACTTTTTTTTACACAAAAAGTGTTTTTTTTTTTTCAAGCCAAAACTGAGAAACCTCAAGAGAACCCATGCATCTGGATCAGCACATGGACAATCTGCACAGCCCCTGATTCCAGTCAGGCTGTGAGCTGCTGAGACATGGACAACACCAGCGTCCTCTTTTGCATGGACACCATTTGGAAAAATTGGATTACACAATTTGGACATAATTTGGAACAATTGGATTTCTGAATTTGGACATAATTTGGACTGAATTGAATTGCTGAATCTGGACACTAAAGCTGAAACGTGTGATTTAAAAGACACGTCACAGAAGAATTCATGGCTCGACACAAATGCAGCCTGAAGAAATCAACACGGAGAAGTGGGAGAGACTGTTTTCAAAGCAATATCTGGAACCACCATCGACTGATGAAGTTTGGTATTTTACTGAAGATTGTTGACAAGTTTTATGAAAGATCTGAAAATGTTTTATGAGTTTTTGAAGTATTCCGAGTTCTGAGTTTTTTGAAGTACCGAGTTTATGAGTTTTTGAAATATTGAGTTATGATGTTATGTTGCTGTTTATCGATCCTGATGGTCACACGTGAATGTATGACCAGAGGGGGGAATGTGAGATTTCATAACACTTTGAAGCAACTTTTGTTAAAGTTAAACTCATCATTCTATCAATGTGCAGAAGCCAGTACTTTTCCCTTGTTTTGTCTATCTGAAGGCCAAGCTACAAGCACACCGTGGCAGCTGCTGATTGGAGGTCTCCATGCCTCCGCTCTGTATAATACACTTGCATTCTGTTGTATTTGTTGTTCGTGCTGTCTCTACCATCAACCATAAAACATGTCTTCTGTCTGAATTTAAGACGCGATCCCAGACTATGTCATCTTCTTCAAGGGTGACATTTTATTGAGCTCGAAAAGAATATGAAAGTATGTGTTTGTTTTGCCTCCATATACTTCTGTCAGATCCTAATCACATGTTTTCAGACAGAAAAGTGTAAAAGAGATATCAGTCATATCAGTGAATCTACCTCAATGCAAAACGTTCTTCAAACTGCACTTGGACTGAAAAAATGCATTGCTGTAGTCGCTTATAATTTATTGTACACAATATATCTTGCTCAGTTTTCCATTTTGAGATCAAAATAGTTCATCACCTGCCTCCGCCCCTCCCTTACCCAGTCAACAGCTGAAATCCTCATTCACGCATTCATCACCTCCGGACTCGACTACTGCAATAGCCTCCTCTACGGACTTCCCACCTCTCATCTCCAATACACCCAATACATCCAGAACTCTGCAGCCCGCCTTCTCACCCACACCCGGTCCAGAGAACACATCACCCCTGTCCTCCAGCAGCTCCACTGGCTCCCCGTTCAATACCGCATCCATTACAAGCGCCTTCTGTTCACCTACAAGTCCCTCCATAACCTGGCCCCGCCCCCTACCTTACAGGGCTCCTACAACAGCACCAAGCCACCCGCCGCCTTCGCTCAGCCCATTCCAACCTCCTCACTCCCATCACCCGCATAAACCGCCAGACCTTGGGGAACCTTGGCGTCCCAACTCTCTGGAACTCACTCCCACTGCCCATTAGAAACTCTGACTCACAACCAAACTTTAAATCAGTCTCAAAACCCAAGCTTTTCCCCACGTGAAGCGTCTTTGAGTGTCCAAAAAGCGCTATACAAGTTTGATGTATTATTATTATTATTATTATTAGGTCTATCTTATCTTCAAAGAAACAAGCCACGTACCATTGGTCTCCTGGCTGCCCTCTTGCACTGCGACCTTCCAGTTGGTCGACTTGCATTCGGGCTCTCTTGCTTTGTCTTTTGCATGTGTGCTGTCCTGTCCAGACACTGTCCATTCCGTTGGCGTGTCCACATCCAACAAACTGTGTTCTCCCAACTCCTTTCCATCTTGTATCCTGCCACCGCTCTCACTCAGCGCAGAACTGACCCTCACTGGCTTCTGGTCTGCCCATGAATCTACGGGGGACTCAGCTCTGACTGTCCCCTGTGCTTCCAACATTGCTGTATTTGCCAAGAACTTAAGGATTCCTCGTGAAACGACGCAGTTCGAGGTGTCCACTGCGTCTTCCATTTCCTCATTGTTTTCTTCAGGGACCGGTTTCAGAGCAGACTTTTGTGAAATGAGAAAAAGTGGACTGCTTGGGTCCTGATTTTGGAAAGGGCCATAGGGATTGACATGATCCGAAATATGTTCTGAAAAATAGACAAAGTTATTTTTTAGTTAAGTGTTCATTCAGCCATAGAATCTTGAAAAAAACCATGTGAAACTTTATGGCCACAAGTCATGCAGTAAGGATTAAGCTTTGGAATGCGTCGGGGTGTAATCCGGGACTAGTTGGCCGGTCCTGTGTGTTTGGGCTTATACTTCACTTTGAGAAAGCTCCTTTTTCTTTGACATCCAATCAAAAATCATCAATAGTCTTCTTGCTCCTAGACTAATATTGCTCTGGTGGAAAAGCCCAACACCATCTCATATTCAATGGATCAGAGATTTATTGTATTTCCTCAAATTGGAAAAGATCCGTTTCATTGTAAGAGATTCTAATAATGCATTTTCTGAAATTTGGAGCCCTTTGTTTTCTTTGCTGAAAGATCGAGATTTTCCTTTCGTGCCAGACTGATTTCTCATTTCTTTTTATACTCTTGGCTGCCACTGATGAATGTGGATATTTCTGAACACCTGCCTGTTCGTCATAGTGTACATTGCACTACTGTTTATTATGTGCCTAAAACTATAAAGTAAAAAAAAAAAAATAAAGCTCCTTTTTTTCCTCACAGAAATCATTCAAGATATACGTGAAAATTGTAAGTCAGGGGTACAGTATGTTCACAAAGCTGGGGTACATAACTGTTTTGATTGATGAAAAAAATCATAGTTTTTCCAATAACAAAAAAGTAAAATGTTGAAGTGATCAGGCCGTCTTCATCTTAAACAAAAACGTGTTATCCTGTGTGTTTGACTCTTTGGGACAAGAGCTGAATGTGTCCATAGGATTCAACCAGACTATTTTAGAGGACCTAGCTACATGAATTCTGTTGTGTACATAGTTCCTTAGTTATGGTTTGAAAGCCACATACCTCAGCTTTAATCAAATCATTTTGAAGTTACATAAATGTGGAGTGATTTGAGAAAACGGCACTCATTTTGTTTTTTCTTCACAGTTCAAAGTGTGACTGAAACTGCCTTGAAACATAAACTTAAAATCTATGTTGTCCTTTTGTCAGTGAGGCTCTGGTCTCTCTCTGGCCTCTCTCTCTGGTCTCTCTCTCTGGTCTCTCTCTCTCTGGTCTCTCTCTCTCTGGTCTCTCTCTCTCTGGTCTCTCTCTCTCTGGTCTCTCTCTCTCTGGTCTCTCTCTCTCTGGTCTCTCTCTCTCTGGTCTCTCTCTCTCTGGTCTCTCTCTCTCTGGTCTCTCTCTCTGGTCTCTCTCTCTGGTCTCTCTCTCTGGTCTCTCTCTCTGGTCTCTCTCTCTGGTCTCTCTCTCTGGTCTCTCTCTCTGGTCTCTCTCTCTCTCTCTGGTCTCTCTCTCTCTCTTCTCTCTCTCTCTCTCTGGTCTCTCTCTCTGGTCTCTCTCTCTCTCTGGTCTCTCTCTCTGGTCTCTCTCTCTGGTCTCTCTCTCTGGTCTCTCTCTCTGGTCTCTCTCTCTGGTCTCTCTCTCTGGTCTCTCTCTCTGGTCTCTCTCTCTGGTCTCTCTCTCTGGTCTCTCTCTCTGGTCTCTCTCTCTGGTCTCTCTCTCTGGTCTCTCTCTCTGGTCTCTCTCTCTGGTCTCTCTCTCTCTGGTCTCTCTCTCTCTGGTCTCTCTCTCTCTGGTCTCTCTCTCTCTGGTTCTCTCTCTGGTCTCTCTCTCTCTGGTCTCTCTCTCTCTGGTCTCTCTCTCTCTGGTCTCTCTCTCTCTGGTCTCTCTCTCTCTGGTCTCTCTCTCTGGTCTCTCTCTCTCTGGTCTCTCTCTCTCTGGTCTCTCTCTCTCTGGTCTCTCTCTCTCTGGTCTCTCTCTCTCTGGTCTCTCTCTCTGTCTCTGGTCTCTCTCTCTCTGGTCTCTCTCTCTCTGGTCTCTCTCTCTCTGGTCTCTCTCTCTCTGGTCTCTCTCTCTCTGGTCTCTCTCTCTCTGGTCTCTCTCTCTCTGGTCTCTCTCTCTCTGGTCTCTCTCTCTGGTCTCTCTCTCTCTGGTCTCTCTCTCTCTGGTCTCTCTCTCTCTGGTCTCTCTCTCTCTGGGTCTCTCTCTCTCTGGTCTCTCTCTCTCTGGTCTCTCTCTCTCTGGTCTCTCTCTCTCTGGTCTCTCTCTCTCTGGTCTCTCTCTCTGGTCTCTCTCTCTACTCGACATCTGGAGTTTGTATTTAACATGAATAAAACAACTTTTGGCATAGTAAAAGGTACTATTATATCCTCAGCATGCTTTTGAGAGCTAACAAAGTCTCAAAAGCCAGAAGGGGGCAGTGCAAGATGGCATGAAAATAGGATAAGATAAAATTGAGATTTGTTAGTAGTTATTACGATTACAGAAGCAAATATAGAGTCACCTTAACGGTACCCAATGCATAAATCTATAACCATACAAATCCCCAATCCATCATTTTATGGGAAGTTTGCAAAAGACAAGCCATGAAGAGCAAACAGCCACACACCACCAGCAGCCCACATTCAGGAAGCAAAGGCAAAAACACATTTCAGACTTACATTTATGATTGCAGCTAGGCCAATCAACGTCCTCATTTGAAACACGATATATATGTTTATGATAAAAGTCACAAATATCAGCATGTATAATATAATATAATATTCTATGTGTAAATGATTGTGTCCAGGCCTACCATTGTTTTCTGAGGGCAGCTGTGGTAGCGTTGGCCGATCTCTGAGCTCTGTAAAAACATCCTCCACTGCCTGGTTGTTAAAGGGATTTTTTCTCTGCGTTAGAGGAAATAAAATATTATTCAGATGATCAAATGTGTTTTGAAGCACGGTTTTTGAATCCTACCTTTGTGGGTGACATTGGCTTGATGGGCCCGGTTTCATATGGGTTTGGATCATCTTTCCTATAAGAAAAAACAAACACACGAAAAAAACAACAGTATTAAGAATGTCTTTCCGTTTAAATCATGTGGTGAACATAAGCATGCGAGGCGTGACCATATAAGGAGATTACCAATTACTTCACAGCTAATTCTTTAAGTTTATTACAACTTTGAATGATCTCACAGTAAAACAATGCATTTTTTAAATATATTTACAGTCAGATTGTCTTGTATAAAAAAAACCAATTTCTGTGTGTTTTACCAGGTGTTGCAGGGCCCCGGGGTTGGCTCCTGTAATAGTCCACACAAAACTGCCGGCACAAACACTTCCTTATTCTCACCGCTCACAAAACTGGGTCTGTTGGGGACGATCTGTGAGAGTTCCACTGCAACAAGCCATAAGTCAATACTTCAAACACATTTATGCACAAGAACCATAGACTTTTACAACCTGTCACATGTGTCTGTTTGCAATCTACTGAGATAAGTCCAACCATGTTCATTTGGTCTTCTGGTAGTCTAGTTCATAGGTGTCAAAGTCAAGGCCCAGGGGCCAGATCCGGCCTGCGAAGAAATGATCTTGGCCCATGGGATGATATTTGATTAGTATTAGAACCGGCCACAGAGAGCCATAAGATAATGTTTGATTATTAATTTAATTTTAAGAACATTTTGTCTTTGAAGGAAGTTTGTTTTTAATAAAATATGGAACAGTGTGTTAGGTTCAATTATATGGAATCATTTTAATATGTTTTAATATACATTGAACCAATCCGGCCCCCGGTTGTTTTGGTCCTCTGATGTATTTGACTTTGACATCCCTGGTCTAGTGAGTACGTTTTTATTGATAAAGCGCATTTCAAAAACCAGGGACACAAAATGCTTTACAATTGTTGTGGGCTTTTGTCTCTCACTCCACTCAGAGATGGGAGCGGGGCCAGTACAGGAGGCGCAGACCTATTGTACATGTTTTTAGTGGTAGGGGAAACCGGAGCACCCAGAGGAAACCTACGCAGACACGGGGAGAACATGCAAACTCCACTCAGAAAGACCATGTTCTGACTGGGATTCGAACCCAGGACCTTCTTGCTGAGAAGCGAGACTACTATCCACTCAGCTACTGTGCCCCCAAACCACGTTTTTTTCCCCCGCACCTGAGACCACTCTGAGTAACGCTACTACAGTTGGAATGCTCAAGTACACAAAACAGTATGTGCTGATGTCATATTGGACTTAAAGGGGCCGTATGTGAACGTTATCATTACTTTAAAAGGGGAGGAATGTGTACCCCCCCAGTTTACAAAGTATGGCCTACAGTATACATGAAGGACAAGGAAGGACACAAACTTGTATCTCACGTTTATTTAACATTGAATATATACATTAAAGTTTGAATTAAAATGTCGTCTCCACTTACAGATAGTCATGGGTTTGTGCGTGTGTTTCATGGAGGCCCAGATGATGTCCGAGCCGTGGATTCGCTCCTGATGCCGGAGCTGCTTGGTCTCGTAAAACCATTCTCCGGTCAGGTACTTGAGCCGCGCTCTGTCACAGATGATCTGCTGCAGCTTCCTGTGGCAGAGAAAACACACATGACGATACATTTGGCTCAGAACATAGAAACGTTCACATTTGAAACCAACTGGACGCGCTGCTCCTCGGCTCTCTTCAGATCTGCATCTCTCTTTAGGACCCCCAAGATGACCTCCTGCTCCTCCTCGGTCAGGAAGCTCAGGTCGATCATGATGTTTTGAAGTTCATGTTTCAAACGTACATCTTCAATTGGGATTTAGTAGGTCCGCCATGTATAATACTCTGGTTAATCCATGGTTAAGTCAGCCACGAGCACTCTTGATTTTTCCATCTTGGAATCTGAAAAATACACGTGGAAAAGATTGGTTAGAATTTGATTGACAGTAGAATGATTAAAGTACACTGCAAAACCTTTTCGATTGGGCCCACTGCCTGCTTCATGTTGTTGTTATTATTATTATTGTTAATGATGACATTATCATCTTTAATGATAATAGTTTTGTTAATACCCAAAACAATTACACACAAGGTTATCGTAGCATGTCTTAGATTTCCCAATGTTATCTTGAAAACATGTGCCAACAGAGCCATAGAAAAGAAAAAAAGTATTTCAATGCACTTGCCTTGACATGTTCTGATGACACATGGATGTTCTTCCTGATAAGAAAAGGAGAAACTGAAAACACTGAAAATGCACCAAAACCTTCTCTTTGTAAACTGTTCCTTATGTAATGTAGTCTTTGCTCCAAGTTGTACCACAAAATACTGCTATAATCCGTCTTGTGAAAGTATGTAGTAATCGCCTGACCAGCGGGGAAGGCCTTTTATTTTCCTTACATATTCAACCAAAACCAAGAATGGTGCATGTCTAGTTTTCTCTAGGAAAGTATTATGTTCCATGATGTTCCATTATCCTGGATGGCAATCATAAAAATGTTCTGATGATTGTGTATGTCTATGTTAAAGTAGAGTAGCTCATAAAAAAAACACACACACAATTTAACCAGTTGGGTTCTATCTCTAGTTTTCACATATTTTTGGCCTCTGTCACAACTTTAGATCCACTTATCCAGATGGAAAAGTGAAAAACAGAGGATCACTCTCACTCAGCCAATAAGATCTCAGTGAACAAAAGATTAGATCTTTTATAAGATGAAGGCAGCATGTGGTGGTTTGATTTGTTCACTTAATTTGATTAAACAATACAGTTTTTTTGTTGATAAACAAGATGCATTTATCAAAAATACAAAAATACATTCTACAGCTTTAACTACTTGAACATACTGGGAATAAACAAGACTATATTATTTTACACTCCTTCTATCAATACATACAAAGCAATTATATTCTAAAAGGCCGTTCACAAAGCAGTATTTTTAGGTTGCCATGACGTATGAGGTCTTGCATAATGATAACACAAAGGCAGAGAAATATTTCCTTATGCATTGGTGTCTAATTTGACTAGAACTATTGTTGAATCTTGGATAGAAATGGTCCTTACCTCAGTGGAGCAGTGGGACAGAGCTGTGGGTGCTGCCAGAGCTGAGTGGAGCTAAAGTTTTGTCTGGAGCAGAGTCTGTGCAGGTGGAGGGAGGGGCCACACAGCCATGGGGGTTGCCAGTTATAAATATGAAACTGAGAATAATGGTAATATGATGTCATGCATATTGACAGAGAAGTCTGTATAAAACAAATATCTAGTGCAGTTTGTGAATTTCGGTATTAAATGAATAAATAAAAAAAGCTGCATTCCACCTAACAAACTGGCAACCCCCATGAGACTCATTCTGATCTGATTGGATAGTCTGAAAACTGTAAACATAAATACTGTGGACACCGTAAAGCGTTTTAATGAAGAACAAATCCAACTTATGTTCAAATTTGATCTCAATCTTTGTTGAACAGTTTTCTGCAGACTATTGTAACCGTTGAATATTTGTGATTCATAGATGGGCACACTGAGCTTTGTGTGTGTGCCTTTGTAATCAACATCATTCACTAATTGGTGCAGAGTAAACAAGCTCATGCACCTTCTGATGTGCACGTGCCAGGGTAACTCAGGATCATGTAATGTTTTATTGTATGAAAACTGTATTCTGCCTGTATTTGTAGTCAGTGTTATTGACTGCAGCTGAAAGGGATCACTCGGAACAGGGGGTAGGCACTAATGAGCCTTCTTGCTTCGGCCTACTACTTTTGAGATACTTTATAACAGTGAAATCATGATAAATGTATGTATGTTAAATAAATAAATATAAAAAAGTAAAATATCTGGCTTCTAAGTAAAATAGAAGCCATCATCCTGTGGACCCACCACCTGCAGGAGGAGGGACTGGTGCATTGAGACTTGGGTGGCAGCTCTGATTGCCACCGCCCGACCCAGAAATGGATTAATAAAGGGGTAGACAATGACATGACATGATAAGTAAAATAGCAACATGCATTTTTTTTCCAGACAATTGATAATATACCATTGCAGAAGTGCTTCATACTGGAAAAGCTGTTATCTGAACTTAGAAGCATCCCTAACCACATTGAAGTCAGGACTTTTCCAATCCACTCAGTAACACTAGAGGGCACAATGTCAACATCACACACGCAATCCTGCTCTAGAGTCTACTCTGGATTTATCTATAGATGTATTCTCACAAGTATATATTTGCACTAGAGAATATACATATATAGAGTTGAAGATAGAGACTGTGTCATGACATTTTCATCCTCTTTATTATTACATTTTCTGGGTTGGGGGGTGGGAATCAGAGCGATAATTAGATCCATGGCTTGGTCTTTCAGCCTTACTTAACATTCACTCATGGTATGTTGTGTGCTCCTCATTCATAATACTCTGTAACTTGTGATGCAACATTGAAATTTCCCCACAGTTGGACGAAAAAAGGATCTCCATCTTAATCATCCAGGAATTAGTCTGACAGGGTGCTATTGGGTCATGCATCCACAAGATGGCAGACACACACTGCTTATAAAAAAGGCTGTGAGGTGTGACAGAATACAGAGTGGGATTATAATGTTTTGGATTGAAGCCGACTGTTCCTTTATTCATCCATGTGCACATGATACAGAAGCACTCAAAACAGGATGTCGTAGATTAGAAAATATATTTCTTTTTAAACTAGCAGAAGTTTGCAGCCCGGAAGTAAAAAATCCTCTTGGATACCTTTAAAGGTATCCAAGAGGATTTTTTACTTCCGGGTGGATCATCAACACTATTGGTCCTCCCAAATGTCAATCATTCTGTTTATACGTCCTTGTCCAATAAGAGCAGAGAGTTTTGTTCAAAAAGTAGAAAGGGCGGTTCTTTCCTAAAATATGGGAAAATCCTCCTTTATACCTTTAAGTATACATAGTTCAATGAAAATACATGTAGCCTGAAAATAGGTTTGCCGTGCAGGAATAGAAGTACAGAGTAAGGGGAACATTTCCAATTACAACTGAATTATCAGTATATTTTATGATGTACAATTAGAGCATTGCAAATAATGCTTGTATATACATTGTACAGCCTGATGGGTGAAAAGCCTAGCACAGTAGAGTATTGATGCTTTTTGCTCATTTTACAGTCTGACAGCAGCAACACTTGTTAGGACCTCAGTTCGATTTATCTCTGAGATTGTATCAGTCTGTCTCTAAGGGCCATGATTGGTCCAGCATGAGCTAATCCAAGACCCTCCTGTCCTCCTCCTAATGCAGTGTCTCCAGGGGATGAACCCACAGTGATGCCATACTCCTGCAGACCACTCCTACAGAATGGATAAAGATGGCCTCAAGGAGTGGCCCCTACAGTGTAAAAGACTATTGATAGTTCAACCATTGTTGAACTATCCAATAGCCAACAATAGTTGACTAACCAAAGCCTTTGTTTAGGATATTAACCAAAGGCTACTCCTTTGGTTAATATCCTTTACTCCTATACTCAGTAGTTATGGGATATTTCAGAAGCACTAAAGGTCTGGTGCCTTGATCTGACGAGAAGTTTTTTGTTTTTTTTGGACTGGAGGCTTGAGGTCCTCTCAGAGCATGAGTGAAACATTTTGTGCCTCCAAATGTCTCAATAAGAGACCAGTCTCTTTGTAGAATACAGTTATGTGCAAATGCTCAATAAAAAGTCATAGTTGAACACTAAGGCTTTTATTAAGTCACCAATTAATCCAGCATGAAAGTCAGCATCTCACACAAACAGGGAGCACTTCTTTAAGCTCTTCTAAGTGAGGAGGAAGTGGCACCACAACAAAGACTCTTCTCATCAGTGGTGGAGACGTGATGCCAGCAGGATGTAGCTTTCCCAAGGTTCCTTTATGAGTCTGAGCTGCAGAGGACCCTGCACCTGGTCCATCAGAGGCCTTCAGTCCGCGGGCACCGGGACAAGACACTAGCCCACTTCAAGCAAATTCTGTGAAGCTTCTCTCAACATTTCAAATTATTAGATTTAGAATTTTAACGATTATGATTTTTGCTCAAGTATGTCAACGCGTCTGTAAACGTCAACGCATCTGTAAACGTCAAAGTTAGGAGTACCCAGAAAAGTTTTATATAAAATGTTGAAACATGTAGAATTGAGATTCATGCATCAGACAAATGAGAACTACCAAATTAGAGAGAAAAGTGTAGTTAACGAACCTACTAGCATTTTAAAATTGGGTCTTTGTAGCACAATTATTACTTGTGCAAATCATTTCTCCAATTCATTATAGAGATATTTTAGTAATACATAAAACTGTGCCAAAACATACATTATTGTCAGCTCCAAGATATTTAGTGGTAACAAAATATGCCAAAAATATACAAGATAAAACATTTTAACAATCTTGGCACCTTTGAAAAATACTAGAAGTTTTATAATTCACTGTAAATAATACATTCCTTTGTGATAATGGTTTGGAAAAATAAAATATCAATGCCGTTCAAAATAGGGTAAGTCAAAGCTGGGCAACATCAGACAATTATTATATTGACTCCCTAATTGCATGGAGACAAAGAATATAGGGGACTCATTTTATCTTTAGAAACATGTTCCAGAAATAAAGGAAAAAGACATTTAATTGTAGTGAGCCTGAGCTGTGGAAGCTTGCACTTTATTGGAAAACAAAAACAAAATATAATCTGCATGAACATTACAGCAAATATGCCGAATAAATGGATCCTTGGGCCCACCATGCTTAGACCACCTTTCCTCCTGGTGTGCGCCCGACCGGGTCAGCTGGACACACAGAACACCGATCAACAGTGCTCCCGACCAGTTCCCCGGGTGCGCCCCTCCCACATCACCCACACCACACCCCCCTGTGCCCCCCCCCGCCCCAAATGCCCCATGACCGCACCCCGTCAGAAACATGATCTAAGCATGAGTGAGCACAATGGCGTTGAGGATAAATGTCATGCTAAAGCTGCAACAAGCGCTAATGCGAGTTCCTTTCCGATGCTGACGTTGCTCCACGCGGCCCGATCTGCGGAGCTGAGGTGAAAACTATTCCCTGCTCAGAATGCTCCAAGCTCCACCGAGCGTCTGGGTCTTTAAAGGTAACGGTTTAGTCTCGTTTTCTGTTTTAAATCCACATGTGTTTGTGGGTGGCTGTACAAGGCATCATGCGAGTACAGAGAATATTCAGCAAAACGACACGGTATTTATATTAACTTCTTTTAAAAAATCTCAATCACTCAAATCCAATTCTACAATCAGCCATACTGTGAATATAAACCTGATGAACCGCCGTGAAGTGGAGGCCAATAACTAATTACATGTCCTTTTTTTAATATCTTCTTTGCAGGTAATTATAAATAAATACAAACAGAAACAAGGAATGTCTACTGAAAACAATACATACAAAATTAAAGAAAAACTGAAATCAACAGAGTATGAAATGTCTTTTTTTTCTCTTCCCCCCCCCCGGATACAATTTAGATACATAATTACGAGAGTGGGACAATGAGTGCGCTCTGTTAAAGTGACCATCTTATTGTTTTTTTTCGGTTTTGAGTCACAAGGGCGAACGATGATGTGAAATGTTCCCTTTGGGTGTTCTCATTAGTCCAGAGCGCGCAACCAAACCCCGTCTTGGTGTGTTTTTTGGGGCGAAATGTCAGCACACACACGCGCACAGACATGAGATGGGCGGGGACATCCACTGTGACTGCCTCTCTGAGATGGGGCCCCTGGAGCGCTCAAGAGAGTGGGCGCAGGGTTTTTGTTCTTTGTGAGTCTCTGTCGGGGCCGACCGTTTCTCAGAGGGCGATGAGTTAGTTAGGAGCAAACTGACGCTTGCTTGAGTTGACCGATTATTATCTTCTTCAGGTAGGAAAGAAAATAACTTCCCTGTGTGTGCGTTACATGAACTGCATCTGGAGAGATAAGCGAGGAAAGAAGAAAAAAAGGGGTCATTTTTCTGCAGTGCGACAGAATTGCTTTAGGTGTCTTGCAAGGCAGTCCAGTGCACAGAACACAAGATCAGGTACATATAATACTTACATCATGTTTAAAAGTGCTGCTTGCATGGATTACCTCAACAGTGGCTAAGACCCAAACAATTGGAGAACACATAATCTCAATAATAACATGGCCGTGCAGCTGGTAATGTCGCAGGCTGTGTGTTATTGTGCCCAACCACCAAACTCCAAGTGCCATTCAATCCACATAATACTGTGCTTTAGAGCGGGAGTGGCATTTACAGTTCGACTTGTTTTGGAGCCTCTTTGGGCCGGTGCAGAAATTCAGAATCATGTGAAGCGAGTGCAGCATTAATACACGCTTCTAATAAAAATAAGTGAAGCAGTCTCTGTGAAGGCAAACTGACATTAAGTAGAAGATGCATGCACACAGAAACTCTTGAATCTGTAGATGCAAAGTCACCTAATAACACTATAAGAAATTATGGACCGATAGCTGTGCAAGAGGGTCCTTCCCTGACACTTTGAAGGGACTCAGGCTGGAGGGACTAGAAGAGGCGGGTGACTGATGGGAAAAGGAGAAGATGAAAGCACATGGGAGGTATTTGGAAATAAGAAGCTCATATACACCTAAGGAACAAAGCGTGCTGCAGGAGATCAAAGTTACTTTATGGCTTTTGCTTTTTTCCACGTAGGCTCAGTGGTGTTTACCTGTGCACCAGAAGCCGACCCAAATGGATTGGCAGGCCTCATCACTGGCTGAGTGTACATCATTGTGGGCTGTGTCATCATCATGGAGCCCATGTGCGGAGGCTGGGGAGAGAAATAAACATAAATATATCCATGCAGATTTGTTAAATAAAAAATTTTGATTATAATTTCCTTGTAGCGTAGAGAACAAACATAGCAGTAAAAGCGGAATACTGCCGCTCAAGACCAGAACTGTCCTTTCTAATTGGACCTTCCTTCAATTCTTCTCACATTAGTCCTGTGCTCAAGTCTCGGACCAGAAATCCTCTCAGATGACTCCTATGCTGCTTTTCCACAGAAACGGTATAGTACAGTACGGCGTGGTTATTTTGCATTTCCACTATCTGGTCTAAGCATGATGGGCCCAAGCTCTCTACACTGGCTTCCTGTGGCTCAGAGAATAAGAGATAGACTTTATTGATCTCACACAGACTTAAAAGACTTGAAAGCAACTCTGCTTTTGTAACAGTCTTTCCACGGCCTTGCACCAAAGTACATCTGTGACATGTTAGTGCCCTATGAACCAACTGCGACTCTGAGGAGCAGAGGGACAGGCCTCCTGTCGGTCCTCAGAGTCAGGATTCAAAATGAGGATTTTTACAATACAAAATCTGCAATAGTCTTCATGATAATGTGAGACAAGCCTCTAAACCCTGAAGTGCAGTTGATACCAGACTCTAAAGTTATCAACATGTTGGTATTTAAAAACGAAGAGGTTTCAAAATGCTGTATATTAGGTAAGTACATTCGAGACTTGAATGTATTTACCCTAAGCCTTTAAATCATTCAATGTGTGACGTTATTTAAACAATTTGAAGCTTCCTTGGGCTAGAGTTGAGTCAACATTTGTCTTTCAGTTGTTTTGTTGTAGCCAATGAAGTATATTATCAAAGTAGATCTTACATCAAACTTGTGTCTTATCGTCTGTGCCAATTGCGTGAGGTGGGTGCACTCCCAGTTGCCTTACCATTCCATATGCCACCATGCCCGTTGGTGTGGTTGCGGGGAAGGCCATGACAGATGGAGCCTGAAGGGACACAAAAAACAAGACTATTGAAACAGAAATAGGTCGCATAGTCAGGATGCTCAGACTCTGACTTAGAAAACAAATTATTATTACAACCATGCATGAACTCAGCAGGACATTTGCAAGGTGAGCCAACTTTGGTCTGACTTTCCGAGCTGCACTTCCTTACAATTTAAAAAGAGACCTGCACAGATTTTCCTCAGATCTGCCTTCACACAAAAATGGAAATGGGAGTTGAAAGTCGGCATAACAGAACGAGCATTTGTTCCCGATATGAAATTACCATTCAGTCATGGGGCAATTTATACTTGCTCATGAGTTCATCTTTAACTCATGAGCAAGTGTAAATTATCTAACTGCTACATTGTGAGCGATAGAGGCGAACGAAAGCCAGTGAGCTGCATTGGTAAAGTGCTCCTTGTAGAGATGAGAGGGTGTGTGTGAAGCCCCTGAAGTGAAAAACCCAGATTTCTCTCATGCACAGCAGTTCAGGGAGGGAAACATAATAAAATATTCATTCATCATTGGCCAAGAAGGCAGGACGTCAGAAGCCATCGGAAAAATCTGAAGATGCCAATAACAACATAATATCACCAGATTCTCATGTCGGTTTGATTCTGTTGTTGGAGTCGAGAACTTTGTTAACTGCACCGAGACTGCTGTTCTGATTTAAGGCTATACAAAAACACATTGAATGAGTTTGTTGATCAATATAGCATCAAGTTCCTGTTGATGAAAGCCAAAAATGCTGATTGCAATACTGGTTTTATCTTAATAATCTAATAGGATTTCTTTATGGTCATTATGATACCAATTATAAATATGAAGGGCACTCGAGAGCCAAGATTCCAAAGCAAAGCGAAAAGACTGGTTTCCTGGATGGTCTTGGGTTTTCCTGTCTGTCCCTGAATCCCACTTCACAGGAACCCACTCGGCTGGCACAGCTGCACAAGGCATACGACAGACAGGAAATCACACGGGACACCAGGAGCCTGCTGTTAGTACAAAGCAGATTCTGAGGCTTTAGGGTGATAGTCCGTTGTGAGGCTGCCCAGACAGAGCCAAGTGTTTCTAATGCAATGAGCGTGGAACCTAGCATGCGGCAGGCCACAGTGTTAATGGACTTCCTGTAGTCCGTGATCATGGCTTCTGTGAGTCTGAATGCTCAGAGTTACATTAGCGATTCATACCAGCGTCAGCCAGAGCTGCGAGAATACTCCAAATGCCACTTACGTATTGTGGGAAAAGCATGCCGTTCTGTGTGAATAACACGCATTAGGTCCAATGGAAAAAACAAAATGGCCCTGAGCAGATAGAAGAGTTAAACGTGGAGTTACCATGGGAGCAGGGTTCCAGGTAGTTGAATGGGCCGTCTTAGGCTGCCAGTTGTTACCCCCGGTCAGCTTCTTCTCCCCAGGTTGACTCCAGTGCAGATCGCTGTGAGGATAACGTCTGAATGTTAGCCCTGTTCTAAATACATACGTAATGAAATGAAGAAAGGCAGAACTTACTTCTTGGCTGTTCCATTGCCAATTCCCAGATCTACAGGGAGGGTGGGCAAGAAAAACAGTTTATAGATACCAGGTTTACATTTCAATCATTAATGACAAATACAACACGTTACATGAACTAATGAACCCAAGCCCAAAACTTACTTCCGACCAAGTTGGCCAGAGAGGAGTCCAGGTCATTGGACACAAGCTTGTTTGCCAGTTGTCCGTTAGGAGTTAGTGCTTGATTGGGTGAAGACGCCACTGTAGGTTTCAGGATGCCATCTAAAATATCTTAAAGAAACAGGGGCAAGACAAAGGGCAGAGAAGGAAGGGGTGAGGGCGAAAGGTCGGGGAGCCCATAAGAGATGAAAACACGGTATAACAAACAACAAAACAAAAAGCACAGACACACACACACATAGACAGGGAGAGAATGAGCGTGGGTGAAGAAGCAGCGCTGGTATAAATGTAACAAGATTTTACTGTGTCAATAGTTTGCGTGAAGTCAACTCACCCAGTCATGCATTTGCCATTGTGCCATGCAAAAAGCCAAGACCCCGGGAGTGAGTGAGACCCCAGGATGAGGGAAGAGAGAGAACAAGTGAGACTGTGAGCCGCCTACAACCATGTGCACACTACTGAGGCCTGTCGCACAAAGTCCCATCAACAATCAGGGATCATTGGAAAATAATGAACAATCAATAACATGTATTAAGACATAAAGGCTACAGAAAATGTAATGGCGCTTCTCTAAAGACGAACGCCACAGTCCAGAATAGTGGATCGGGAAAGCATATTAGGTTTGTGAAAAGTGTAGAGAACTAAAGCTTGTATCAAAACTGGATAATGGGGTACAGTGAAATTGGAAAAAATGATCAAACACAGGATAATTCCCTCATTGGAGAAGGTATGTGCGGGGTTCAGATCCACAGACTGCATGAGCTTTCTGAGCGGCTATTAGTAGTACTTATTTTCTACTGGCTATTGGAGCGTTTGTTTCAACAACATTAAAATATTCTCCAAGATCAGAACTAGGATTTCAATCAACTGAATAAAAGGTTTTTAAGTCTTTGTGCGACAGTCATCAGGAATACCAACAGGTGCGGATGGGTGTGACAGATACTGAGCTTTTATCAGTTACTCATCTGAATACATTTGATATAAAAATAAGTGAAGCCAAACACAAAAGGCCCATACACCTCCATCACACTCTGTGGCACAAGAAGAAGTGGTAATTTAATGACATCTTAAAAGCAAATATTACACAAGCTAAATTCTTCCCTTAACTGGGCTTTGTGACTTATGTAGCACTGCATTACTCTTTATATACACATCTATATACTGTGTTTAGCCAGAGAGCAAGACAGATACCACAGTTTTTACACCTGTGCATGCTAAAAATAAACAGATGGCAGAAGCGCACAACGCCAGTTCCATGATGTGAACAGCCACATGACTACTCACCTTTGTCACCAGTTTATGCAAGCAGCGCAGTGCCTTTGCTCGCAGGGTTACGTCATGAGCAAAGTACAGTGCGATTGTACTCAAGGACCAATAGTTAATGAAGTAAATAAGAAGTGCTTGTTTAGAAGGAGCTTCAAGCATTCTTTCTACTCGTCTGCAACATCGTCAACAAATCAAAGTCCAGCGCTTTGATTTCCCGGCCGCACAGTGAAACCCAAAAAAAGGGCTCTTTATGAACTTGAGGTGGCAGTGTGGAGCAGTGCTTACCTGATGAATCCAGGTTGTTGGCATTAGTGTTGTTCCCAAACACAGAGTCAAAGTCAACATTGAGGCCTTGGGAGTTCTGTGATGTCGGGGAGGAGGCATTGAACCCTGACGAGGAAAGAACACAACATTTAATAGAAAAACGGCACAATTAAAAGGTTAAAAGCACCCAGTTTTTGTGAAGCTGTTGGTGGCTTCCACAACAAATATAAAACTACAAGCTCTTGACTGGGTGGTGGTGGTGGTGGTGGTGGGGGGGTGTCTAAATGTGGACGTACCTCTGAATAGACCAGCTACAGCAGGGGGCTCAGAATGGAAGAGAGGAGTGGTGGCGTAAGGGTTTGGCCCACAGAACGAGTCTGACACACAGAGCAGAGATGGGAAAGGAGGAAGAGAGCAGGAGATTATAAAAATACTGGAGGAATGGGTCAAAGGCAGACAGAAAGCAAAGATCAAGATAGGGGAGGCAAAAGCAGTGGAAACCAGCAGCACCCCAGGTCTGGAGACTAAACGACAGGCAACTTATTAGGGCACAGTCTGGCTAAACTAATAGGAAAGATTTACAAGTGTGGTGTGTAGGATGCAAGAGAGAAGCCACACAAAGAAAGGGTTTTACTGGGCAACTCTACAACTGTCCACTTGCACTCATTACTCCCACTAAAGGTATCACTGAAGTACCTGACGTGCTCAGCTCAGAATCAATGTCAGACGCCAAAGAGCAGCTTGAATCAAAAGCAGGATAGTAATGATCTGCAGTTGACAAACATGCACTGATGAGACAAGATTTCCATGCACCAAACATTTTTGAAAGGATAACAAAAAAATCAAAACAGCCCAAATCAAACATGATTGAGAGGCGGAAAGGATAAACACTGGGAACCCAAAAAAGTCACTGCAACATAAATGCAGAGTCTGACAGGCTGCCGGAAAAGAGATGAATGTGAGAGAGGTGGCCGAAAACGAGACTATGTTCTGGCACTTGACCCAAAAGTCACTCCAGGAATTTCCTTCTTTATTTTTTCATTTAGTCTTAAGACTGTGGGACGACCAGGAGGTTCTAATAACATTAAACTCCTTTAGTTATAAGCTGCGTGCAAAACGTAAAACAAAAGGTGGGTGTACTCTAAATAAATCAGCTTAATGGGGTAGTAACATGACATTTTTGATACAGGCAGATATCAAATAATTACAACATCCTTGTGGTAGACATACGAGGATATGTATGACTTACAACTAATAGTATAACCAACTACAGATTAAGCCAAGATTGAGAACATTTCTAATACATTGAATTAGGGCTGTAATAAACACATAGCATATTCAAATCTGGATTAAAACAGATTAATATGTTACTTAATTGACAACTACTTCAGTAATTTCCTTACTTGAATAACTTGTTACAGCCATAGAATAGAATTGTTCAACCATTATTTAAGTTGGCTTATGCTAGTCCCATATGAACCAGCCCGGACTCTGAGGAGCGCAGGGACGGGACTCTTGTTAGTGCCCAGAGTCAGGACTAGACAGGGGGAGGCTGCTTTTCAGATCTATGCAGCTAAAGTCTGGGACAGTCTTCCTGAGGATGTGAGACTGGCTGCCTCTCTGTCAATGTTCAAATCCATGTTAAAGACTTTTCTTTTTTCCTGTGCATACAACTAGAGAATTTTATCTTTTTAACACACCTTGTTATTTATTGTTGTAACTTTTTGTGTTTTTTACTATTTTATTGTTTTTAATTACTTGTGTGATTCTTATGTTTTTAAATTACTTATGTGATTTTAATGCTTTTTAATTACATATGTGTTTTTAATTGTATTTTAATGGTGATGATTTGTGCATTGTGTGGTGTGGACTGTGAGGCGCTTTGTGTTGCCCTGTGCAGGAAAAGCGCCCTATAAATAAAGATTGATTGATTGATTGATTATCTGTACTAACAGCCATTTCTATACATAAAATGCCCATGCAAGCTTTCTTTGATAATATGAGAAAATCTGTCAAGATGCAGCTTATCAACCCCACCGAACATTTCATGGCTAGGCGTTCTAGAGGTCAGGCTGCCATTTTCAGTGGGTGCCATGGACAGGTGGACATCAACAACAGGTAGTGTGAGGAAAGGGTTTGCATTTGGAATGTCCTCCGCAACATCGACAGAAGAGGCAAAGGGATCTGAGAGCACAAATGGTAAAGGGACACACGAGTTATGGGTGAGAGACAATGACATGTTAAAAATCTCCAAATCTCCATGCGACATAACAGTACTGATGGTCTAGGTAAAGCACCAGATTTTAGGCCCAAAAAATAAAGAGCCAATTGTGCTTTTGGATTTTAGACCTTGATTATAACTGCTGGAAAGTTAACGGTTTAAAGAGTTTCTGTTATTGCTGTCGTTTGGCTCCAGATTAAAAATAATTAATATTAAAAATAATTTATTAGTCTGAAAACTCCATCTTGCCTGGCCTACAAGAGGAATGTCAGTGCAAGTACTGACTGATAATTGTCCCCTTTTGTCACTGACAATAAGATGATAACAAAGGATCTCTGATTCGAACATTTAATCTGTCCTTGTGGAACAGATCTGTACAATAACGTTCTGTATCAACTGCATTGTTTAGACATGACATGAATGTTAGTGAAACAGAGATGAGATAAAGTAAACATGAAACTCTGAGAGGGACTGACAACATTAGAATTAAGAGACAGTAAGTGACAGTCACCTCCCCATGTGCTTCCCGTAGACAGAGGCAGAGGCTGCTGGAAGGCGGGCTGGAGGTCCAACAGGTCACTGGCTGCTTTGGCGCTGCTGGAGGGGGGCACAGTAATATACACCTTTTTAATAATTTGTGCCTTTTGGGGCTAATATTCACAATTATATAATATATAAAATATATTTTGTTGGATTTATAGATCTTGTGTTTACATAACCAGGAAATATGTATTATTATAAACATGAGACAATTACATTTATGGTTATATATAATTGAATTGTGGGGTCACTATGCCTATATGGCAATGTGCATTGAACACATTTTAAAATGTGTTCACTGAATGGACCTGTGCTCAGGTCATCTATGGTAATTATGTGAAGGGTTTTTTCTGAATTATTTGTGGTTAAAATTTCATGTTAATATTTGGTCTCAAAAGTATCAATAAGATTAAGGTACTGTGTATATTAGGGCTGTCAAAATTATTGAGTTAACTCACCATAATTACATTTACCATTAGTGCGTTAATAATAAAGTAACGCGTTTAACGCATGTCCGAATGACCCGCCCATGAGACCAAGAATATCACTCAGAATGCTGCGGACACATGCGCGTGAACGCGGGGCACTTGCTGTTTGCTATGAACTGAAGTCCACATCCTCCATGACCGCAGCGTTCTGACCAAGGGCAGCTACAGCCGCTCTGGTGATTGTTAGATGGCTTTGAACCGCTTACAAGAACACGGCGAATGGCGCCACGATGACGTGGTCATATAAGACCATACACGCCACAGAACTATTCTCTGCATGTTGTGTGAGTAACCTGTGCACGCAAATACACCACTGAAGCTGAACTATGGAGTGTCCGTGTCTCCTCCTTCTCTCCCCTGTGTCTTCTCCTGAAACGCAACTAAACTCGCTAAATTAAAGTTGGGGCACGTAAAATTTGCCTTTCATGAACAGCTCATGTTGGTTGTGCCCAAAAGTAAAAAATCTGTTTGATTCACAACCTAAGTAAAATTGTTATGAATGACAATGTGTCATTATATTTGATAATCTCATTTAACTTCAATCGGAGTGGATTTGAAATAGAAGGTTAAATATTGGATTAATCGAGAGTTAACTCACCATTACTATGCAATTAATCAACTGAAATTTAATCGTTTGACAGCCTTAGTGTATATACATTTGTCCTGACCTGTTGTTTGAGCTGGGGGTAGAAAAAAGGTCAATAGCAGGGGTCGAGTTGATTGTGCCTCCCATTGTAGATACTGGAGAGGAGTCGGTGGTCGCCACCCCTGGATTCTTGTGAAGCTCCTTCAGACGCTGCTCCTTGGACAACAACGTATTGAAAAACAGAGGCGGCATCATAAACAACTGCTTTTTGAAAAAGTTCAGTCAACAAGGAAACACTAGTTTCTTTAACCTTTCACACAAGTTACTGCACAGTGACATTTATGTGTTCCAAGCTTAGAGGAATGTAGGTGAGGAAACAAATATACTTTTAGTGCTTTTAGGCGAGCCTGTTCTTCCTCCAGCGCAGCCTGCTTTTCCCTCTCATCCACTTTGGTGAAGGATATGCCGGTGTTGGCCAGAGACGAGACTGCATTGGACAGAGTGCTGGCCCTATTTCCATGAAAACAAAATGCTTAGCAAAGATTTTGCCACATTTGGTTGAAGTTGTAACGTTATACAGTAACTAACAATTCAAACAGGTGCAACCCTCTCATTGTTTAAAAGGAACCGTCTGTTGCCTTTACTGGTGTTGAAATGCTGCTACGAATAAAACCAATAAATGTGTCACCACTTTCCATTGTCTTACATGCATATAAAGTACACAGTTTAAGCTCCCCCAGCTCTGATTAATCATTTGCTGTAGGTAGTTAGGATTGAGGCAGCTCGATTTCAGAAACTGGCAACCTTATTGACCACATTTTTACTTTCTGGTGTATAATTTGCTTGAGTATGGTTGACACATGAAGTAGCAATCACAACCAATGTCTTATTTAATTAATAATAAATAATCATTCATAAATAATTCACTCCATTTTAATATGGATATGCAATTTAAAAATCTGAATGTTATAGTTTCTTTAACTAATAATATGATACAAGTCACCTACCTGCTGGCTGCTGTTGAGTCTTTGACTTTCTTCCCTTCTAAAGAGGCCAGGTGTTGCTCCAGGGCATCAAGCAGGCTACTGGGGGCCTAGCATCAATGTCATTGGGACACATTACATTAGAATACTGTAAATCACTGACAGGGCACATAATCCAGCATAATACAGACATGCCCATTTACTATGCACAGCCAAATACAGCACAGACAGACACAGAGAGAAAATGTAGATACTTACACACACCGTAAACTGAAGAAGACAGCAAAGGAAAATACAGAAAATAAAGGTGGTAACTGTTTAAGATTAAATAAAGACCTCTTCTGAACATACTCAAAACTTCCCGTCATGTTTCTGGGACATACTTTCACTCGGAGAAAGAGGATGACTAAACCAGAGTTGGATTCACACCTTTATTTGCTGTACACAGTGCAAGGTCAGGAGTGACTGCATATGGAGCTTCTGGGGCACTACAGGCTCATGCACTCTGCATGAGCGAGAACTGGAGAACAGTAAAGCTGTGGGGAGCAGCCTGTGAGCCAAGAGTAAAAGCCAAATTCTGGACAGTATGAAAACTTTCAAAGAAAGTATAAATTATATTAACCCTTTAGGTGCCAGAGTTTTTCCAGATGTTGCATGTGAAACAGACAAAAAGGCAGACCTGAAACTTCATTGAGAGATTAAGGACTAGCAAAGTCATTACCAAATAAAATATATATAATTATACAAATTTAGGGTACAATTGTGGGAAGCCAGGTCGCAGTTTATTAACCGTTTTGACAACCCTGGCGCCTAAAGGGTTTATATATTAGATGATCATAAATTTATGATAACCAGGGATATTAGGAATCATATTAGGACTCATTCTGTCAGAACTTGTGGAATCCGGCTTATTTTTCCTCTCCTCATTAACATTAATCTATTGCTATCTATAATCTATTATTATCTATTATAATCTATTGCCATAATTGCCTTAAATGTGGCAATAGTTTTTGTAGAAAATAAAAAGAAATTGTTTGAAAAATTGTTTCATTAGTAATAGCAAAGATGCAATTTAGTCATGGGAGGGTGTGTGGTGCTTATGCTCACCTGAGACAGATCAGGGATGTCTCCTCGGTCAATTCCCACTTGCTGCAAAGTCAGACACGTTTCAGGACTGAGGACTGTGGTGTGGGCCAAAGGCTTCATGTCGGACTAACTTACCTCTGCGACTTTGAGAAATTCTGAAATTCTTGTCATTCGAGTGAGGAATTTCTTGTAGATGTCGAGACCTTCTTTGCACTGTATTTTCTTCATGTCAAAGTATTTTTCTATGCACATATAACAATGAGGTTATAGCTTGAGTTACGCTTTCACTTCTTCCAAATAGAATAGAAATAAAGTTTGCATACATTACAAGCCACATAACGATTAGAGTTCAATCATGGAACACAACTAATTTTGACAATAACATGCAACTTCTACAACATTTAGAAACTTTTTGTATGAGAAATAGAGCTGTAAATTAAGATGTTATAGCTTTGCGTGTTAAAATGGAAGAAAATCATGTATTCTTGCCTTCTATGTTGTCATAATTGTAAAATATGAAATGTGACTGAACAAAAAAAATTAAAATATCTAATCACTTAAATAAAATGGACAAAAAGGAAGTAGGATTGAAAGATAAAACGAGAAATCTACAGTATTTGCAAAATGACATCTATTTAGTCTCATCACTTAAGAAAATGTATTTACCGAGGAGATTAATGATCCCCTCATTGTAAGCTGCAAACAGTCGAATGGCATCTTTGAACAGAAGCATGAAGGCTGCGTTGATCACACCATTAGTGAGTTCATTGGCATTGACCTGGGGAGAGAAGGGAGTCAGGGTCATTTGGAACAAGAGGATCAACTTCACATCTTACATTAAAGTCAAGAAGGACGTCCATCTGGTTTTGGATGATGGGAATAGTCTTGAGGAGCTTCTCTGTGTTCATAGTTCTCATTACACCATCAGACCTGAAAAAGGGTATCGCAAATATTAACAGCAGAAGCTGATATTGTAAGAAATGAGGAGTGAACAAATTTATTTAACAATGTTTCCATGTACAAAGGTTACAAAGATTTTTTCTTCTTCTGGTGATCTGACATTTGAGTTTTGTTACTCTCATGGATGACCGGAATTTATAGACATTCAATTCTAACCAAATATAAAATATTTCCTAACATTTAGGAATACCAAGCGCATTGATGACTGAATATTTTGTTTTATGTGGCACATTATATATCACTTTATAATGTGCTGTAAAACAGCTGCAGTATGTCCAAAATTCAGCAGCTCGAGTCCTGACCAGGAAGTACGATCACATTAGTCCAGTCCTCAGGTCTCTGCACTAGCTTCCTGTGGTTCAGGGATCAGACTTCAAGGCAGCACTGCTTGTGTATAATTCTCTCCATGGCCTCGCACCAAAGTATTTAAGTGAAATGTTAGTGCCATATGAACCAACTCGGACTCTGAGGAGCACAGGAGGTTGCCTCTTGCTGGGTCCAAGAGTGAGAACTAAACATGGGGAGGCAGTGTTCCAGATTTATGCAGCTGAAATCTGGAACAATCTTCTTGATGTGAGGCTGGCATCTATTCTCGCAGTTTTCAAATCTATATTACTATCTACTATTGATGATGTGACCGGCACATGGCGTCTGAAGAATAAACTGCCCTTCCCCTGGTGTCCAACAAGTCCCCGATAATAGAAGTAGAAGTAATAGTAGCTTTGTGACATGTGTTGAGATTCAATATGCCAGAGCATTGGTAATCAACGCCTCTTACCCTCTTTTCACTTTAGTGAAGTCAAAGGCAACTTGTCTGTAGGACACAGCCTTCTCATTCAGGTAGCGGCTATACCTCCTGATGAATGTTGACATGTCGTACCCTGGTTACACATAAGACATAAGTGACGTCATCACATAGTTTAGTACAGTCAGGTGAAAAAAAATGTCATTGGGTCAATACCTTGTAGGCCACTTTTATCCAGAAAGTTGCTCAAGTTAAAAAGAGTATTTCTTGAAGCCAGATATTGAATAAATCTCTGCAAAAAAAGAAAATGTTTGGGTTGCACAAGCATGTTTCCCACAAGTTCCTTAAAATGTGTTTCAATAACGGATGTTGGACAATGCTCACTTCATTTCCGTAGACCATCAGCTGGTGTGTGGTGGTGAGGGACTTGAAGACCACTACCCAGCTTGTGTTGGCAGTCCTTTCAAACAGTGTGTCGGCCAGCTGAGGGATGTTCACGTTCATCTCATTTGTACATTGGATCAGGTCTGTAAAGAGACAAAGCATAACACTTTCAAAGCCATATGCCACAGACTTTGTGGTTTTTAATGGGTACAAATGGCACACACAACCTCTAGGGGACGGGTTCAGATCAATATATGAATGACCAATAAAAACATATTACACTAACTGTTCAAGCAAACTTAAATCTACAAATTGTCAGGAAACACAGCACAAGTGTAGCTCCAGTGGCATCTGGACTTAGTGAAGAGAAATTCTTCATGGTTGGCTCCACTTTCATTCAAGGGCACTGAGCTGATCAATGACACCAGCGCTCATCCCTTATATCTTCACAGACACAGATGCACACACAGCACATCCTGACGTTCTGATGAAACACAGCCTGTGACAGAATGCGTTCACGCTGTGTTCAGAGGCCAAGACTTTTTATTCAAAAGATAACAATTGCATTATATCTGCAGAAGTTGATTAAATGAAAAGATTTGAAAAAAAAAAAAATCATAGAAGGTTCATGACATACTTTGAATGAGCAGTTAAAAGTTGCTTTGAATTTTCACTTTCCATGAAATTATGTGACACAAACGGAGCCTTCCAAGTTATCCAATATTCATAACCATCACATGCCAAAGAAGGTTGGCAGTGAGAGAAAATACATATTTCAGATCAATGATATTCTCATTCCGGTATTTCAGACATTTTAAAAATATACACGCAAAAACTAAAAAAGTGCATTATAATTTCAAACTGGACTGTAAAATTATTTACTTTAATAATGCAACATAATTTGTTTGTATATTAATCTGGCCATGGCGTGTTTGGATCTCTGAAACAGGCAAGAATCACTAAATGTCAAATACAGGCTAAACAGAGACTAGCGTAGACTCTCTTAAACTTATCTAAAAAAAAAAAAAAAACAGATTGGCAATTACATATTATAAATCGTGCAGCCCTAATAATTGAGATGTAAATGTAACATATATGACAAAAACAAACTATTGTGAAAGCGTTTTGAGACTGTACTATACTAGCCCCAATGGAAGTGTCCTTGACTGAAGCAGTCTTAAAAGTAACATTGACATAAGTTGGAGACGTTGGGACTCAAAGAGGCCATTTTACATGGGTGGTCTATGAACCCTCCTCAGTGTTTGCAGAACACCACACAAAGCCTTTATGCTTTTTATTGAGACAATAGGCCACCCATGTGACAACAAAAGCCTTTTCAAATACTCCCGTCATGTCTGCAGAGAGTACAGAATCACCAGTCACTTTCTCCTGCTGCCACTGATCTGAGTAAGACAAGCTACACGGCTGCTCTGCTCGCCCTCCACTGAGCCGCTGTGGCTATGAGACTTGACAGAGCTATATATCTGACACACGTATCTCAGGGAGCTGAAACCAGATCAAGAGGATGCCTTTACATGGATACTAAACTAAATTTCCATCAAGGAATTAACTTGTGCCTTGAAAAGGAAAGCATATAATCTATTAAAGTTATTAGAGAGAGAATCAATAGTTATAATCTCAATCATTCTCAAGTATACATTTTGTTTTCTGCTGCAATACGTTTTTTGATCAATAGAAAAATGCAGACAATACAAGCTCTGTATGACCCATAATGTTACCATAAAGGTTTTCTGGCTACACACAGTACAAACTCATGACATTGTGCTTAAAACCATATTGTGGATAAGGTCTTTCAGACTTCTGTCAGGCATTTATGGTCAAACAGAAAGGTCCCCCATAAAACAGGAATTAGGTTGAGAAGTGCTGCTGTACAAAAAGAGCCCATCTTATTAAAAATGGGCAAACTGACTGATATATTTTTACTAAATTATACTAAAGTGTTACAAATTGCCATTACACCCTGCAGTCAGCTGCACCTTCCAGCACCAGGACACTGCCCCTTCCCCCATTCACTTATCACAGAGAAGTGAAGTATAGGCCGCATCAATGCAGTCATGTGACATAAGAAAATGCATATATAAAATATTTATATATTTATCTAAGCCTTTATTTCTCGACGTAATCGATGACGTTGATGCAAAATATGCGCGTTGATTCGTCAGACTCAAAACAAAAATGGCAGCGAGTAGTGGCAACACGACCGGGGCGTTCAGACCGCCGACGCTGGAACAAAGTTTCCATGCGGACTAGACGCACATTCTCTACATTTCAGACGCTAGGGGTGTTCAGAACAGAAGTCCTGGGCTGCGGTGGCGCCCGGTGGAAGTGCCTTTTTCTCCAAGAAGGCAGCTCTGCAGCGTCTCTGTGTCCAGAGACCTTCCAGAGACTATATATAATAGCAGTATGTGTTCACGGAGGTGCGCCATACGTTTATTTTATCATTAGACGGTACATGCTAGGTGCAGAGTCAAAGTTGTTATTTTGTTATTTGTGAATGAAGGATTTTTTTTATAAGCTAGGCCTATGTTCAACATAACTGTTGAATTCATTCATTCACTCGTTGAATACATTGGTTACTGTATTCTTTCAGTTGCTCTAAACAAGTTTTTTGGGTGTTAGATGCACTTTTTTCAATAAGCTAGATGCGTTTAAGGCTTCAAGGTTTTATGCTACCTCTTGAAATTTGAGAAGAAATTTTTTTAAGGAATTCATGTTATTTCATTTGTATGTAAATTAACATGTATACATTGATATTAGTCAATTAATGGGGAGATAATTGCTAATCAAATTCGAATCGGACTGAAAAAAATAATCGTTTATCCCAGCCCTAATCTTACTACAAGTGGCAGTGCGAGTCAAAGAGCTTCTCAGTCTAAGTCTTATTCATCTGAAAAGCAAATGAATACAAACCAGTCTTTCCACTCAACTCCTTGCTGTGTCCAGACAGATTGTTCTCTCTTGCACCATTTAAAAAGGTGCTTCCAGAGCTTCAGATAACTAATTCGATAACTGCGGTTATTGTCCCACATTATTCCCCTGTTGTACAAGTGAAACCAGTGTCACACAAAAGCACTGTACTAACAAAAACTTTTGCAATGTCACTGAATGCAGAGAAAAATCAAATCCTTTTAAGCAGGGGCCCACAGTTCACATGTTGAGCCCACCTTCATAACATTCCTGAAGTATTAAAAAACCCCATAAAAGATTGGTCTTGCCCCTGCTGGACAAAGCTAGAAGCGTTGGGTATGTGTTTGCATTGCTGAACATTTTAATGGCCTGAATTCATACACAAGCTGAATCAATGAGCTAATATTTTCAATTGAATTACGGGTTTTAATACAACTTTTAATACAACTTAGAAAGACTGTCTACAGCAGAAAGACAAAATATGAATAATGTTGATGCAGTTTTATGTGGCTTTGTTATAATAAAGAAATCCAGTACGTACACTATGTTGTCATTTATCTTTCCATTCAAACAACCATTTACAGAAAATAACTGACTCACAGGGCTTCTTAAGTAAGCAGAATAAAAAAACACAACTGTTGGTTTGTTCCGTTTCATTTGTTCACAACATTTTACTTTTGAGCACAAATAACATGCATTGTCAATGCAAGCAAAAATGCAGGTACCCGAGCTTTAATTCCGTAAGTTTTGGCAGCACTTTGAGGAGACACGGGGTAGACACGGGATAGACACGGGATAGACACGGGATAGACACGGGATAGACACGGGATAGACACGGGATAGACACGGGATAGACACGGGATAGACACGGGATAGACACGGGATAGACACGGGATAGACACGGGATAGACACGGGATAGACACGGGATAGACACCGGATAGACACCGGATAGACACCGGATAGACACCGGATAGACACCGGATAGACACCGGATAGACACCGGATAGACACCGGATAGACACCGGATAGACACCGGATAGACACCGGATAGACACCGGATAGACACCGGATAGACACCGGATAGACACCGGATAGACACCGGATAGACACCGGATAGACACCGGATAGACACGGGATAGACACGGGATAGACACGGGATAGACACGGGATAGACACGGGATAGACACGGGATAGACACGGGAAAGACACGGGATAGACACGGGAAAGACACGGGAAAGACACGGGAAAGACACGGGAAAGACACGGGACAGACACGGGACAGACACGGGACAGACACGGGACAGACACGGGAAAGACACGGGAAAGACTGGCAAGACCCGCATGTGCAACAAGCTGGGGTTGGTTCCGTCCGCCGCGTCCATGGTCGGTGCATGACCAAGTTACGGCTGAGCGTTGCCAACGCGGCTCACGGAGGTCAGAACGGAGGATGTGAATCCTGCGGTCAAACATTTCACAGAAATGATTTTTTCAGCGAGAAATTCAGATTTCACGGAAAATTCTCATCCTTGGTATATCCTGATGCATTTCATTAGTCAAGAGAATTGATCAATGAAGAATTGATCAATGAACAATGATGAATTGGTCAAAAAAGAAACAGACGTGTCCACTTTCCCAGCCTCAAAAGGTAGAAGTGAGCAACAGCGCTCTCGGCTCAAAAGGTAGAAATGCTGGAATGCGTTTCGGGCCTCAATGGGTTAAATAATCATACTGCATCCATCCATTTTCTGCCCCCTAATCCATTTCTGGGTCGGGAGGGGTGGCCGGAGATGCCACCCAGTACACAACACCAGCCCCTCTCTGATCCTCCTGCAGGTGGTGAGTCCACAGGAGGACAGCTGCTCTGTCACAGCCTTGGTCTTTCAGTGGGGGCTTCAGGCAATACAATATAATTTTCCAGAACACCAAAACTTCTACGTGAATAATCATGCAGCCTATAATGGCAACATATTCTTTTAAAACAAGCTTTGTAAAAGCACAAAAACTAGTTACATTTCTAGAGCTGTAGAAATATGACTTGGGGTAATGGCCAAAGAAAATTTGGCAGCCATTTTACTGGTATTATTTTTACAGGGATGTAGTTATAAGAAGGAACATTCTGGTGGTGCTCCCATGGAGGATTTCCAAATAGGATAGCATGACAAGGGCAGGATTGAAGTAGCTCTGAGGGCATGACTGCATTCGCACATGAGGCTG